CCTCCAGCCCCGGCTCCAGCAGACTGTGCACAAACTGCTGTGGCGGGGAGCTGGCCAGGGCCCTGAGCTTGGCGTGGTTGTGTGCGCTCTGTGCGAGTCCAGACAGCCCCACGGTGAAGACCCGGACTCCCTGGGCTTTGAGGCGGTCGGCGGCGGGGGCAGGGTCAGGGCTGCGGGGGTGGTCCAGGCCGTCGGTCAGCAGCAGGAGCACTCGCACACTGCCGGCCGCGCTTTCGCTCCGCAGCAGGGCCGAGGCGTTGGTCAGGGCGTGGCTGGTGTAGGTGCCCTGGCCGATGTGCCGCATGGTGCTGACTGCGTCCTGGAATGAGTCAAGGTCGGTCCAGACGGAGAGCGGGCGGTCCACGGACACAGAGTTGCTGTAGTGGAGCGCGCCCATCCGCAGGCGCACGGACCAGGACGGGACCTACGGGGAGACCGGGGACAGGGCTCTGACTGTGTTTCAGGTGTCCTACTCAAGGCTCTGACTGTGTTTCAGGTGTCCTACTCAAGGCTCTGACTGTGTTTCAGGTGTCCTACTCAAGGCTCTGACTGTGTTTCAGGTGTCCTACTCAAGGCTCTGACTGTGTTTCAGGTGTCCTACTCAAGGCTCTGACTGTGTTTCAGGTGTCCTACTCAAGGCTCTGACTGTGTTTCAGGTGTCCTACTCAAGGCTCTGACTGTGTTTCAGGTCCTTTTAGTGTTTGGTTGTGCTATACGAGACAAACGTAAGATAGCAATGTTATTTCCTTAACTCATTGACTGCCTGCCGTTTTTGATGATTTCACTGATTCTCAAGATCCATCCATCCATCCATCCATTTTCCTCCCCTTAATCCATTTCTGGGTCAGGGGGGTGGCCAGAGATGCCACCCAGTCCACAGAGCACCAGCCTCTCACTGATCCTCCTGCAGGTGGTGAGTCCACAGGAGCTGAGATCTTTCAGTGGGGGCTTCAGGCAAAGTGGGGTTATGTGTCTTGCCTAAGGACACAACGACAGCAGTCATCAGTGGGAGTCGTGAAGTAGGTCTTATGGTGGGCTCGAACCCACGACCTTCAGGCTCAAAGGCCAATGCTCTACCAACTGAGCTACTGTCGCCCCTATTCTCAAGATCCATAGAATATTATTTCCTAAGACTATGTGAAATGTGAAACCAGATTTTGAAAGACAGGATTGTCTACTTTAATCAGCAAAAATAAGTTTGTTTTTAGCTATTTTTATTGTCCTGTAATCCCCAGTCGAATATAGGGTCCAAGAGAAATTTGTCAATGGCAGTCAATGAGTTAATTTTCTAATATGATAATCTTTCAGCATTGATGGTAAGAAGAACCCTGGTTATACCTCATTTAAAAGCTTGTCATATCAAGAAAACAATTGTGTAATTTCATATATTTTTGAATTTGAATCCAAATGTCATTCATTTTTGAGTCAATTCCGTCAATACTCATTATGTTCAGGAAAATCTACCAGAAACCACTAACTAGACGCGTGTTAAATACAACAAACCCTTTGCAAACCCTTTTGTCAAAATATATTCCTAATGTAAAAAATATATATATTGCCAGTTGCTAAAAATAAGCTAAACAAAACTTTGCCACTAAGAAAAGCACTTACAGCTTTCTTCTCGTCTCTACTCTACTCTACTCTGATTGGGAGTGTTTCCACCGGCCCTGATTAACCAGCGCCAGGTCCTTCTTTAGTCCCCCTTGGCCCTGGTTCTATCCACGCTTGTACTAAAGTGTTATAGCTGACAGTGATTGTAGAGTGCTGCTGGAAGACCTGGTTACCAAGGAATTTCCCCGGATAGTGGTTTGCTGTGGGTGGGTAGAGTAGAGTACAGTAAAGAAGGGCCATATGAGAACTACAGTATCATTTACTATTGCTCAACTCCATTCAGAAAGCAGTACAGTTTCAGTCACAGTGTTTATGGTACCTGCAGCAGGGACAGTTGGGTGCTGAACCGTAACACAAAGGCCTTCTCCTGCTGGAACAGAAACGTCTTGACGCTCTCCGAACTGTCCAGGACAAAGACCACGTCCAGGGAGCACGCCTGAGCTGTGGACACCATGATGAAAACAACAGGACTGAGGACTGTTGCAGGGACTTAAAGCTGGGGTAATTAACGTCCAGACAACAAACAAAAAGAACAATGTTATAAAATGCGTGTCGTTAGTCCTTTGCTCTCAAATTGTTAGTTCATCATTCATTAGTTTTCACACGCACGTATTTTTGGCCTCTGTCACATCTCTGGTCTCTCACTCTGTTCTCTCAATGGGTATTCTCTCTGGTCTCTCTCTCTGGTCCCTCTATCCCAGAGATCAGGAACCTATGGCTCAGGAGCCCGATGTGGCTCTTTTCTTGATGATTGAAATAGTAATTTAGTGCCACTTGTGCAAAGACTCTATTGAAGTTTACCCTCTCTCCTGTAGTAGCTCCTCCGGCCAGACATTCGCCTTTGAGCTGATGTCGACTTCCACATGGTCAAGACCAGGACCAGGACCAACGCTCTCAGCCACATCTTCACTCTGCTGCACAAAACACATTCACATTTACCATAGTGGATATATTAGGAGTGGACTATGGATATATTAGGAGTGGACTGAGCCAGTGTGACATAAACTGGGGTGTTAGCCTAATTGCAGAAGAGGCTGATTTGAACATAAGCTACAGTAGCTGGAGCCAATTTCCTTTAATGGGCCTTAGTTCTGACAACGTTAGCTTCATGCCATAACAGGGGCAGACGTTTGTCGAAGGTAAGCTGGAGTTTCCCTCGTGAATGAAAGCATCTGATTGGTCAATCCTTTTAACTCTCATATATGGATTAACAAAAACAATATTACAATATAAACACCACGATCACAGAGAGCGCTAAACCACAGACTGTTGGGAGACAAACGGTTACTGAACAAGAGGAGTTCACTTTTACATGTAAGTCAGGAGCCAGAGCAATTTGGAGCCAAACTTCACCATGAGCACTTCCCTATTGGGCTTCATTGAGCTTTCGGGTCAGCATTGTCCATCTGTGTACAGTCTGTGTTACTGTTACAGAAGAGTAGAAATGAGGAGCACCCAAACACAATCCAAAATAAGTGAAACACAATCAATCAATCAACTTTATTTGTATGGCACCTTTCCAACACAAGGCCACTCAAAGCGCCTCACAACCCACATAATATCAGACAAATCAGAAACATCAAAATCTACATATACAAACAATAAATACATTAAAAACAGAATAAAATCACAAGTAATGAAAAAACCTTAAAACATAACACAATAACACTCTGGAACATTCTTCCTGAGGTTGTGAGCCAGGTATTCAAAACTAGGTTGAAAACACATATGCTTAGCCGTGCACACAATTGATTCTACTATGACACTCTTTTTAAACCCCATTTTAGAAAGAGTATAAACTCAGTACTTTTAAGCTGCAGTGTGTTCATTTGATTTGAAATTACTGTTTATTGGTGCATCTGTTTTTTTTTTCTTTTACAAAGATGCTGTTTATAATTAGTCTTGAGGCTGTTTGAATCGCCTTTTCCTCGGATAGTAAACAAATACAAATAAATGATGAGCTCAGCAGATCAGCACAGCACAGAACCGCTCACTCTATAACATAACTACTATAACATAATATAACAAGTTTAATAAACATACCTAAGGCTGATGATGAGGATGATGATGATGATGATGATTGTGCGTGTCTTCTCCGGGGGTCAGGTCTGTCCTCAGGCTGATGATGGTGTATCCTCCCCGGGACAGTTCTGTGTCTCTAGTCCGGGTGTCTGCCCCTCAGAGAATCAATCCTCCATCTGCAGCTGTGTGTGTGTGAGAGAGAACCACCAGGGCAGGTTCAGGCGGAGCGGGTTTTCCAGTGTGTGACCCTGTCCCCAGACATGAACCTGTATATTTGTGCACTTTTAATTGAACCTGACAGCGCCTTCTTGTGGAATAATAGGATCGTCACATTAAAGTGCATTCTTTTTTTGCTCTGAGAAAGGTTGAAACAGTCTAGATCTGCCAGTATACCTTCCTGGACTGACTGTAAATATTGTATTGCTTTTTCTCTTCATTCCTATTTTTATATGGACAAGTTGAACTTCAGTCTGTATAAAAAGGATGTGGAAACAGTAAAAAGTAAGATCAAGTGTTTTCAGTATTTTAGAACTTCATACTGTGACATAATTAACTATGATGTTTTTCCAATTGCCAGACACTAACAACATTCTTAATTCACTGAATAAATACAACCTCATCTCAAAACCAATTAAACTATTTCAGTGAGTCTATTTGTTTGTTATAATTGCATTTCCCATGTTGGAACCATAGACTGTATTGTTTGAACTGTTTCATTTTATGATCTGTTGTTCATGAATCCACTATAAAGTCTGACTGCTTTTGTGGTTCACATATACATTACATTGAAATTAAATGGTTTTATTAGTTAAGAAGCATGTTACACACACGCAATACACATCAGAGTTTAAACATGAAAGGAAACATATCAGAAACCTGTCTTTCCTTATGTCCCATTCTACATTATTACACACAGTTTTTGGTCTCTTTTTCACTTTGTTCCTCTGTGACTTTGAACATCGTTGAATGTTCCACAATACATATATGTCGGTCCAATCGGCAACAATGTTTGACTGGAATATTAAAACATTTTAAAATATTTTTCATAATATATAAATATCCAAAATTCCAGAGACCAGAATGAGAGTGCAGAGAGACACAAGAGAGAGAGACTTATCAGTACACGGCGATATGGTTGAAACATGTGTTTTTTGCACACTGAATGATTACAAAATAAGACAGAAGTCAATAAACCACGAGTTTTTTGGCGCCCTCTGCTGACACGAGCACGGACGGACAGCAGAGCGGAACCTTGTGTATGTTTCTCTTGTAACTCAGAGGGAGTTATTTTGGTGAGACACACAACACGGAGCGGTGGACAGCTTTCAGACTTCAGACATGTGGATTTGCTGTTAGCGTGAGAATGTGTAAGGTCATGTTTCTCTTTCATTATGTCACGTAGATGTCCTGCTTTTATTGTTACGTCATTGTTATTGTTCGGAGACGGGTCACAAAGATGTTTTTGTTCGACAGTGTCATCTGTTAGCATTAGCCACAGTTAGCATCGTCAACCAAACTTAACTTCTGCGGGAAGATCTTTTTATGCTCTTTTACGTAGAAAAGACTCGCATTTAAAACAGTCTCTGTGTCAGAATTATATAATATAATGTATATATATATAATAATATATATATATATATATATATTATATATTTATTTATATTTATATATAGGCCACATTATGAATATAAATTGACTACTCTAGTTAGTATAATTAAATATAGTAATATAATATCCTCAACTTTGTGGGTATTCACAATTAATTGTACTAACTTATATGGTGCTGAAATGACTATTATCTTGTATCCGTAACTAGTACTTCATTAATTTAATATGTATTTGACAAGGACACTGCATTTACACACAATTACAGCCAGACTTGTAACTGATATGACAACACACAGTTAAAGCAGAAGATCATTGTCAGCTCCTGTCCCTGAGCTTTCTCTACAAAAATCATAAAAACATATTTACAACACTGCTCGCACTCAAAGGAAAATCCTTGTGTGCAAGCAGTGCTGCAATCTTGGAGAGAGAAACCACAGAGACAGATCACAGAGAACAAGGGAGAGACCAGTGACCAGAGAGTGACCTGAGAGAGACACCAGAGAGAGGAGACCGAGAGAGAGACCCGAGAGAGAGACCCGAGAGGACCGAGAGAGAGACCCGAGAGAGTGACCCGAGAGAGAGACCCGAGAGAGCGACCCGAGAGAGAGACCCGAGAGAGTGACCCGAGAGAGAGACCCGAGAGAGAGACCCGAGAGAGAGACCCGAGAGAGAGACCCGAGAGAGACACCAGAGAGAGAGACCCGAGAGAGAGACCCGAGAGAGAGACCCGAGAGAGCGACCCGAGAGAGAGACCCGAGAGAGTGACCGAGAGAGAGACCCGAGAGAGAGACCCGAGAGAGAGACCCGAGAGAGAGACCCGAGAGAGAGACCAGAGAGAGAGACCCGAGAGAGAGACCCGAGAGAGGACCCGAGAGAGAGACCCGAGAGAGAGACCCGAGAGAGAGACCCGAGAGAGAGACCCGAGAGAGTGACCCGAGAGAGAGACCCGAGAGAGAGACCCGAGAGAGAGACCCGAGAGAGAGACCCGAGAGAGAGACCGGGAGACCAGCGAGGGAGACCTTAGTGGGAGCCCAGGGAGAGAGTTATATTGGACTAGCGATAAGTTTGTGCGGACTAGCGGTTATATGATGTTGTTGGAGTATACATGCGTTATAGCGAGGGACCAGTGTACTACAGTTTGTCTGTTTTCTGCATTTATTTCGGTAACTCCTATTTTTCTTCTTAGGTTGTTCCTGAAGTAGAAGCCCGCTCCGCAGCCAGATCATGAGCTGCTCCAAACCCGACATCCTGTGGTCCCCGCACCACCCAGACCGCTACGTCATCTGCGACTCGGAGCTGGGCCTGTACCGGATATGCCCCACGCTCCCCTCTGAGTCAAAGCCTGGCACGCTCCCTCTGTCCGACCAGACCGCTGCCACCCTGCTCGCCATCAACTCCGACACGCCATACATGAAATGCGTGGCCTGGTATCCCAAACACCAACCCGAGTGCCTGCTCGCTGTGGGACAGGCTAATGGCAGAGTTGTACTCACCAGCCTTGGACAAAGCCATAACTCTGAGTGTAAAGAGCTTGTCGGAAAAGAATTTGTGCCAAAACATGCGCGGCAGTGTAATACATTAGCGTGGAACCCTGTGGATAGTCACATACTCGCAGCTGGTTTGGACAAGCACAGAGCAGACTTCTCAGTTCTGCTTTGGGACATTAGCAGTAAGTATTCCCCAGAAACCAGCGCAGTCACTGCAGACAAAACCCGCTCGACTTTAGACCTGGAATCCAATACGGTGGTGACCAAGCCGCTGTATGAGCTGGGACAAAATGACGCATGTTTGTCGCTTTGCTGGCTGCTTCGGGATCCGAAGTTGCTGCTCGCGGGGATGCACAGAAACCTGGCTATTTTTGATTTGAGGAACACCAGCCAGAAGACGTTTGTAAATACCAAGGCCATCCAGGGGGTGACGGTGGACCCCCACTTTCCGGACAGGGTGGCCTCATTCTTCGAGGGGCAGGTGGCCATTTGGGACCTGAGGAAGTTTGAGAAGCCGGTGCTGACACTGACCGAGCAGCCCAAGCCACTCACAAAGGTAAGACCATTGACAACAGTGGGGCAAAAAAGTATTTAGCCAGCCACCAATTGTGCAAGTTCTCCCACTAAAAAATATGAGGGAGGCCAGTAATTTTTGTCATAGGTATACCTCAACTATGAGAGACAGAATGAGAAAAAAAATGTAATTGCAAATGGTGGTGGAAAGTATAGGTCAATAATATAAGTTCATCTCTGTTACTCTAGAGCAGTGATGTTTTGGGGGTGTCCCTGGGTATCAGAGACATTCAACTCCCTCCAAAGGTTATCTATGGGGTTGTGATCTGGAGACTGGCTAGCCCCTTGAAATGCTTCTTACAAGCAATGCTGAAAGACCCAGCCATGTTTCATCTTCAATGCCCTTGCTGAAGGAAGAAGATTTTCATTCAAAATCTCATTATACATTCTTTCTTTCCTTTACACGGGTCAGTTGCCCTGTGCAGGAAAACAGCCTTATAGCATGATGTTTCCACCCCCATGCTTCAGAGTAAGCATTGTGTTCTTTGGATGCAACTCAGCATTCTTTTTTTCCAGTTTTTACCAAAAAGTTCTACTTTGGTTTCATCTGACCATATGACATTATCCCATCCTCCTCTGGATCATCCAAATGCTCTCCAGCAAACTTCAGACGGGCCTGGACAAGCCGGGTTACACATCTGGCACCGCAGGATTTGAGTCCATGGAGGCGTAGTGTGTTACTGATGGTAGCCTTTGTTACTTTGGTCCCAGCTCTCTGCAGGTCATTCACTAGGACCCCCCCTTGTGTGGTTCTTGTGTTTGACCCCACGGGTGAGATCTTGTGTGGAGCCCCAGGACGAGAGAGATTATCTGTGGTCTTGTATGTCTTCCATTTTCTAATAATTGCTCCCACAGTTAATTTTTTTTCACACCAAGCCGCTTACCAATTGCAGATTCAGTCTTCCCAGCCTGGTGTAGGTCTACAATTTTGTTTCTGGTGTCCTCTGACAGTGTCTTTCATACTGATTAGGGATGTACCAATCCGATATTCAGTATCGGTATCGGGGGCCGATATGGGTATTTTGTAAGGATCGGATAATATCGGATTTGTTAAATATGAAGCTGATTTACGTCACTTTTCAGCATGTTCACGCTTTACGGCTGCCGTGAACTAAATACAATGTAAAACTCCCCTTTTGAATTTTGTATTTGGAATAAGATTCTGTATGCTTGGTGAATTATTGCTGCTGCTGCACCAGCAATTAAAAGAAGGAGTACCTTCCTCTATTTTTTATCATTGTTTTGAGTTGATTTAAGGTTAAATGTAGCACAAATGCCTTGTTGTATTTGATTATTTTTGCTATCGGAGAGTTCACATTTACAGAGTTCACACACAGGTTAAGTACTGGCTTTTTGTGGTCATTCAGTTACAGTATGCACCAGCTCTTTTCCTTTTGTTATACTGAATGTTGAGGTCAGCTTTTTGATAATTGTTCCTCTTTGATATTTCTTTTAGGTTAAGTTTATGATAAAGGTGAAATATTCAATAGTGATGTGATTCTTACCTACTACCTAACTCAATAGGTCTGTTAAGCAAAAGCCAAACAATATTTTTGGTCATGTTATAATAAAAAAACATTTTAAAGTAATACTGGTTGCAAAATCTTTAATGCTTTGAAAATATTAGAAAAAATTGGATTGTATCGGATTGGTATCGGCAAAACAATATTTAAGAATATCGGAATCGGATCGGATTACAAAAAATCTGGATCCGGACATCCCTATTACTGATCACGAGTTCAAACAGGTGCCATTAATACAGGTAACAAGTGGAGGACGAGGAGGAAACAAACAAGCAAGAAATCTTGTTTGTTTGTAGTCAACCAAATGCTTATTTTCCACCATAATTTGCAAATAAATAATTTTAAAATCAGACGATAGGATTTTCCAGATTTTTTTTTTCCATTCTGTCTCTCATAGTTGATTAATTACAGGCCTGACTAAATACTTGTTTGTCCAACTGCATATACAGGTGGACGATCTTAACATTGACTGTAGGGGTGGGAACCTAAGGGTACCTCACAATACGATACGATATGCGATACGAAGCTCACGATAATGATTATATCACGATAACGATTATATCACAATAACGATTATATCACGATAATGATTATATCACGATAACGATTATATCACGATATGCCGATTATGGATATACTGGTCGGCAATATACAATATGCCAATATATGGCATACATAAAATAGAAACATTTTAAGTGAAAAAAAAAAACACTTTCTTTCATGATAAATGGAATTGAGATGCGTAATGTAGCCATTTATTAAGTAATGATACTAAAAAAAATAACAAAAAATCGATACTTGGCAAATGCATATCGATAATCGATCGCGGGAGAAAGTATCGCAATATATCGTCACACTCCTAATTTACTGTATACCAGGGTTTTAAAACTTGGTCTTCAAAGTCAATCTCACGCTCCATCCTTCCCTCACTCGTGAACAAGACCCCGAGATACTTGAACTCCTCCACTTGAGGAAGGACCTCTCCACCCACCTGGAGAGGCCAAGGCACCTCCCTGGGGAGGTGTTCCGGGCACGTCCCACCGGGAGGAGGCCCCGGGGAAGACCCAGGACACGCTGGAGGGACTATGTCTCTCAGCTGGCCTGGGAACGCCTTGGAGTCCCCCCGGACGAGCTGGAGGAAGTGTGTGTGGATAGGGAAGTCTGGGCGTCTCTGCTTAGACTGCTGCCCCCGCCACCCGGCAACGGATGAAGCGGAAGAAAATGAATGGATGGATGGATGGGTCTTCAAAGTATTTGTATCTCTCCCTACATCACAACAGCACTAGTCTCAGAGGACTTTACATAATTGTGGATTCACCAACAACCGAACAGAAAACCAAACGCCGAACACAGGAAAAATCAATAATAACAAACAAATAGGGATGACCACTGTTAATGAATGTGTGGAAATGTCCCAAATCATCACTGCGCTTAGACCCTCCTGTATAGACAAGAACCACCCAGAAACCCAGTGGGGACTAAGTGAAAAACCTCGAGGATATCCACATTGAGAGAGGGATCTGCTGCTCCGGACTGACAGACTGTAGATCCAGGACTGGAGCTGTAGATCTAGGGCAAAGGCTGTAGATCCAGGACTGGGGCTGTCGATCCAGGACTGAGCCTGTAGATTCAGGACTGAGGCTGTAGATCCAGGACTGAGGCTGTTGATTCAGGACTGAGGCTGTAGATTCAGGACTGAGGCTGTAGATCCAGGATAGAAGCTGTAGATCCAGGACAGAGGCTGTAGATCCAGGACTGAGGCTGTAGATCCAGGACTGAGGCTGTAGATCCAGGACTGAGGCTGTAGATCCAGGACTGAGGCTGTAGATCCAGGACTGAGGTTGTAGATCCAGGACTGAGGCTGTAGATCCAGGACTGAGGCTGTAGATCCAGGACTGAGGCTGTAGATCCAGGACTGAGGCTGCAGATCCAGGACTGAGACTGTAGATCCAGGACTGAGGCTGTAGATCCAGGACTGAGGCTGTAGATCCAGGACTGAGGCTGTAGATCCAGGACTGAGGCTGTAGAGCCAGGACTGAGGCTGTAGATCCAGGACTGAGGCTGTAGAGCCAGGACTGAGGCCGTAGATCCAGGACTGAGGCTGTAGATCCAGGACTGAGGCTGTAGATCCAGGACTGAGGCTGTAGATCCAGGACAGAGGCTGTAGATCCAGGACAGAGGCTGTAGATCCAGGACAGAGGCTGTAGATCCAGGACTGAGGCTGTAGATCCAGGACTGAGGCTGTAGATCCAGGACAGAGGCTGTAGATCCAGGACAGAGGCTGTAGATCCAGGACAGAGGCTGTAGATCCAGGACTGAGGCTGTAGATCCAGGACTGAGGCTGTAGATCCAGGACTGAGGCCGTAGATCCAATCCTGTAGCTTGACCTGGTCTGTGTTCTCTGGCAGGTGGCCTGGTGTCCGACCCGCACTGGTCTGCTCGCAACTCTGACCCGCGACAGCAACATCATCCGTCTGTACGACATGCAGCACGCGCCCACGCCCATCGGGGACGAGACGGAGCCCACCATCATCGAGCGCAGCGTGCAGCCGTCGGACTCTCAGATCGGGAGCTTTGCCTGGCACCCGTCCTCCCAGAACCGGATGGTTGTTGTCTCCGCCGCCAACCGCAGCATGACCGACTTCACCGTGTTCGAACGCATCTCCCTGGCCTGGAGCTCCACCTCCTCGCTAATGTGGGCCTGCGGGAGGCACCTGTACGAGTGTGCGGAGGAGGGGGAGGGGACAGACACCGACACGGACATCGCCACTAGGATGAGGCAGAGGGCTCAAGGCAGGTACGGCCACGACACAACAAACGTGTGGAGGAATCATGTGCTGGCAGGAGGCAAAGACCCACAGCTCAAGTCTCTGTGGTACGACCTCTCTTATATCCTTTACATAGTTTGGTTATTTATATATATTCATTATTATTGTCCCTATGATCATTAGATATAGATCAGATGTTACACTTTTGTAATGTGGAATGGTGTTGACGGTCTGAAAGTGAAATTTGTGCTTATGTGCATTAGTGATGTTTACCTTTGGTCTGAGCGAATGCAGAAACAGAGGAGAGGGGAGGAAATGAGAGAGAGGAGAGTAGAGTAGGAGAGGGGAGGACTTTTCCCATTATTGGGGACCAATTCAGTTTATTGTTATTATGAACACCCAGGTACCACCAGCTCAATGTCCGCCCCCCGGATGTTCAGTGGCGTGTGGGAAAGTGTAGATGGTGAAGAGCAACGGTGAGAGGACAGTGTCCCGAGGGGGCCCAGTGCTGCAGACTACCACCTCATACTCACAGCTGCGCAGCCGCACGTACTGTGGTCGGTCCGAGACGTCGATGGTCCATGCAGTGAGGTTACTGTCCGCTCCTGCATCCTCCCGAGTAAAAAAATATGACCCTCACAGCGCTCCCGACAGCGTCCTCTCTCCCTCCTCTGGAGGGAGAACGGGGTTTACTGTCAGAGATGGGGTCTGGAGATGTGGGGGCAGGGGGCTTGGGAGTAGCGCTGGACAAGTGGGGACTGTATGAGTCATGAAACTAACAGTGAATAATGATACTAAAAATAATAATAATGATAATAGTAATGCATTGGTTTTACAGTGCCTTGCGAAAGTATTCGGCCCTCTTGAACCTTTCAACATTTCGCCACATTTCAGGCTTCAAACATAAAGATATAAAAATTTAATTTTTTGTCAAGAATCAACAACAAGTAGGACACAATCGTGAAGTGGAACAAAATTTATTGGATAATTTAAACTTTTAACAAATAAAAAACTTTGTACCGCCACCTTTTGCTGCAATTACAGCTGCAAGTCGCTTGGGGTAGGTCTCTATCAGTTTTTCACATCGAGAGACTGGAATTCTTGCCCATTCTTCCTTGCAAAACAGCTCGAGCCCAGTGAGGTTGGATGGAGAGCGTTTGTGAACAGCAGTCTTCAGCTCTTTCCACAGATTCTCGATTGGATTCAGGTCTGGACTTTGACTTGGCCATTCTAACACCTGGACACGTCTATTTGTGAACCATTCCATTGTAGATTTGGCTTTATGTTTTGGATCATTGTCCTGTTGGAAGATAAATCTCCGTCCCAGTCTCAGGTCTTTTGCAGACTCCAGCAGGTTTTCTTCCAGAATGGTCCTGTATTTGGCTCCATCCATCTTCCCATCAATTTTAGCCATCTTCCCTGTCCCTGCTGAAGAAAAGCAGGCCCAAAGCATGATGCTGCCACCACCATGTTTGACAGTGGGGATGGTGTGTTCAGGGTGATGAGCTGTGTTGCTTTTACGCCAAACATATCATTTTGCATTGTGGCCAAAAAGTTCGATTTTGGTTTCATCTGACCAGAGCACCTTCTTCCACGTGTTTGGTGTGTCTCCCAGGTGGCTTGTGGCAAACTTTAAACAAGACTTTTTATGGATATCTTTGAGAAATGGCTTTCTTCTTGCCACTCTTCCATAAAGGCCAGATTTGTGCAGTGCACAACTGATTGTTGTCCTATGGACAGACTCTCCCACCTCAGCTGTAGTTATCTGCAGTTCATCCAGAGTGATCATGGGCCTCTTGGCTGCATCTCTGCTCAGTCTTCTCCTTGTTTGAGATGAAAGTTTGGAGGGACGGCCGGGTCTTGGTAGATTTGCAGTGGTCTGATACTCCTTCCATTTCAATATAATTGCTTGCACAGTGCTCCTTGAGATGTTTAAAGCTTGGGAAATCTTTTTGTATCCAAATCCGGCTTTAAACTTCTCCACAACAGTATCTCGGACCTGCCTGGTGTGTTCCTTTGTCTTCATGGTTCTCTCTGCGCTTTAAACAGAACCCTGAGACTATCAAAGAGCAGGTGCATTTATACGGAGACTTGATTACACACAGGTGCATTCTATTTATCATCATCAGTCATTTAGGACAACATTGGATCATTCAAAGATCCTCACTGAACTTCTGGACTGAGTTTGCTGCACTGAAAGTAAAGGGGCCAAATAATATTGCACGCCCCACTTTTCAGTTTTTTAATTGTTAAAGTTTAAATTATCCAATAAACTTCGTTCCACTTCACGATCGTGTCCCACTTGTTGTTGATTCATGACAAAAAATTAAAATTTTATATCTTTATGTTTGAAGCCTGAAATGTGGCAAATGGCAAAATGTTGAAAGGTTCAAGGGGGCCGAATACTTTCGCAAGACACTGTATATAGACACTCAAAGACACACACCAGACTCATTCTAGGCAATGTGGGTGAAGTGTCGTGCCTAAGGACACAATGACAGTTTGGCACTTTACAGCCGCAGCCGCTCCACTGTGGCACCTGGTGCTCCCAGAGGTCTCCCATCACAGTACTAACTAGGCCCTGCCCTGCAGGATCTGGCTTTTGCGCCATACTTGCATGAGTTATGGAAGCTAACGGGTGACCAGTTAAAACAAAAGTTACATATATATAACTATGTTTTTATGAATCCCGAATGACCACCAGAGCTTCATGTCACTCAGGAAGAATGTTAGATGATGGAGGATTATAAAGCCCTCCTATTGGTCATCCGGTAGTCACGGGTGACTCCAACTGCGGCTTACATTCAACTACGAACGTGGAGTACGCATGTGGACAAAATGTACTTTCTTGTTTACAGGTGCGCCTTATACTCCAGAAAGCACAGTTGAGGCAGCAAATCTGAGGTTTCTGCTTCTGCTCAAAAACACTAGAAAGTGGTGGTGGGGTCATGTTAGATTAGGGGTTATCATGTAGAGCACACTCTCACTGAGTTTCCCCAGCCTCAGAGCCTATGTTTGACCAAGATGCTACAGTGATGGTTTATCGGCTGTTTGAACTGAGGTGGGAAATACTGCGGGGGGACACCACACTGGGATGGGCTAAAAGCAAACAACTCAATACTACATATTGCTGTTTAAACAATTACTGAAAAGATGTTTGGATTGTTTGGAATCATAGAAAGTATTTGAGGAGTGGAGTGGACTGACCCTCGTGTATGTAGGCTGCAGTACCACGGGTGGCCTGTAGTCCATGTGGAGACAGGTTTCACACAATATTATACACCATGATGGAGTTGGACTTCTATACTATTATTTATGAATGTCCTCTCTTCCCTTTAACTCCACGTCATGCTGGCACTGACCAATCTAAAGCCCTGTTTCCACCGTCTCTATACACTAAGCTACACTACACTATACTACACTTTTTGCTGTAACGCAGTAATGTAAGGCATTACAAATCCAAAACACAACATTGTGACATCACTTGCAAAAAAGGATAGACATGCAGCCTATATGCAATAGATGAGAGTCTAAGCTTTGGTTTGATCTTTAAAGCGTCCAAAAATAGTCAATATTAACAGAGATATCACCTTCTCTAGATTCCTGTTTGAGACAGAGGCAGACACTTGTCAACGAGCGCGGGGAATATATGCGCGATGAGTGACGACTTGGCGCGTTTGAAAACAACTAAGAATTATTCACTTCCATCACGTTTAGTAAATAAAGTAGTGAGCTGCTGTGAAACAGGTCTGAGCCAGGACTGAACCAGGACTGAACCAGGACTGAACCAGGATTTACCAGTTTACCCCAAGTTTAACCAAAATCAGCAAAAGTAACAATAAAATAGGAGTAATTAACAAGCCCTTTGATTATTAGATTATTAGACTAAAAATGTAACTTTGGTGACCACTGTGGTAGAAGATTGCTGAAGCTGAAGTAGATATGTCGGATAATAGTACATTTTAAAGATGGACAGCCTCCCATATTTAGAGTTTGTTGGAGCCAAAGATATGGAACATAACAGTTAAGTGCTCTTTAACCAAAAGCTCCATCAACTTCACGCAATAGCATCATAAGCTTCATTTAGTATGTATATGTATGTATATATTATGTCACTTAAAAGTAATGCAGTAGAGTTGTAAATAACACTAATAAGTAATACATAATGTTTTACGTTTTTGTTAAACGTGAAACTACTCCACTCCACTCCACTCCCATGCTCTGCTCTACTTCCCCCAATTGGGAGTGTTTTTCACCGGCCCTGTTTAACCAGTTCCAGGTCTTTTGGTCCCTTCTGGCCCTGGTTCTATCCAGGGTGAGCTGATGCTAAAGTGTTCTAACTGACAGGGATAGGCCAGAGTGCTGCTGGAAGATATGGTTACCAAGGAATTTTCCTGGTCTGTTGTGGGTAAGTTGCAAGGATACAGTGCCAGATACTAAAGTTTAATGGAAATGTATCCATGTAGAGTATGGTAGATTAGGGTAGAGCACTATAGTTGAATAAGCTCATATTTGTGTCAATGGTTTTTAAGTAAGTAAGTAAGTAAGTAATCTTTATTTATATACCGCCCTTCACAGACCAGACTCACAAAGCGGTTTACAATTGTTATTTTTGGGCACTTGTCCTCTCACTCCACACAGAGATGGGAGCGGGGTCGCCGAACAGGAGGCGCATGCCAGACCTATTGTACATATTTTTTTAGTTAGTTTAATTCAGAACTAAATCTGTGTAGAATATATGTTATTTGTCTGAAAGTCCTTTCTGAGCTTTTCCTATGTGAGTGCTACATATGAAGCAGTGTGCGGAGGACCTGGACCTCAAGCTTCAGGGGAACAAGCAGTCTGTGGTCTACTCCGGGATCAAGAATATCGTCAAAACCAGCTCCGGTGAGGACCAAAGTTACCACTCTAACTACAGGTCTTTGAGTCCTGGATGACCGGCAGAAGAGGAGCCACAAGTTTACAGCATGTGTCTGAGATAATATGGGCCACAATGATGTCCACGTGAGTCATTTAAGGGTTAAAAACATAAAAAACCCAAAGACTGATTTAGTCAGCAACCAATTGTGCAAGTTCTCTCACTTAAAAGTATGAGGGAGGCCTGTAATTTTCATCATAGGTTATACCTCTATGAGAGACAGAATAATTTTTTTTTTTAAATCCAGAAAATCTAACCCTAACCCTAATCCTAACCACTGATTTTTAAATGTATATATTTTTTTCTAATTGTAGAATATAAGTGTTTGGTCACGTACAAACAAGAAGCAAGATTTCTGGCTCTCACATTCCTGTAACTTATTTAAGAGGCTCCTCTGTCCTCCACCTGTATTAATGGCACCTGTTCATGTTATCAGTATGAAAAGACACCTGTCCACAACCTCAAATAGTCACACTCCAAATTCCAAGCGCTGCCAATCAGGCTGGGAAGACTGATTCTGCAATAGGTAAGCAGCTTGGTGTGAAGAAACCAACTGTGGGAGCAGTTATCAGAAAATGGAAGACATACAAGACCACTGATAATCTCCCTCGATCTGGGGCTCCACACAAGATCTCATCCCGTGGGGTCAAAATGATCATGATAACGGTGATCAAAAATCCCAGAAGCACACGGGGGGACCTGGTGAATGAGAGCTGGGACCAAAGTAACAAAGGTTACCATCAGTAACACACTACGACGACAGGGAATCAAATCCTGCAGTGCCAGACGTGTCCCCCTGCTGAAGCCAGTGCATGTCCAGGCCCGTCTGAAGTTTGCCAGAGAGCACATGGATGATACAGCAGAGGATTGGGAGAATGTCATTTGGCAGATTAAACTAAAATAGAACATTTTTGTAAAAACTAAACTCGTTGTGTACTCGTTGAGGAAAAAGAATGCTGAGTTGCTTCTAAAGAACACCATACCTTCTGTGAAGCACGGGGGTGGAAACATCATGCTTTGGGGCTGTTTTATGGCAAATGGACCAGGACGACTGATCCGTGTAAAGGAAAGAATGAATGAGGCCTATCAGCAAGGGCATTGAAGATTAAATGTGGCCGGGTCTTTCAGCATAATCTCAAAGACACTGCCCGGGCATCAAAGGAGTGCCTTTGTAAGAAGCATTTCAAGGTCCTGGAGTGGCCAAGCCTGCCTCCAGATCTCAATTCCATAGAAAATCTTTGGAGGAAGTTTGTTTGTGTTGCTCAGTCACAGTCCCAAAACATCACTGCTCTAGAGAAGATCTGCATGGAGGAATGGGCCATAATACCAGCAACAGTGTGTGAAAACCTTGTGAAGACGTACTGAAAAAGTTTGAGCTCTGTCATTGCCAACAAAGGGTATGTAACAAAGTATTGAGATTAACTTTTGTTATTGACCAAATACTTATTTTCCATCATACATGGCAGATAAATTATAAAAAATCAGACAATGCGGTTTTCCGGATATTTTTTCCCATTCTTTCTCACATAGTTTAGGTACCTATGACAAAAATTAAAGGCCTCCCTCATCTCTTTTAGTGGGAGAACTTTTCCCCACTGTAGATGGACAATGCTAGCCCGCTAGCTCAATGAAGCCCAATAGGGAGTCTCCTATTAATATGCATGAAAAAGTAAAATCCTTGTTTTGAGTAACCATTTGTGTCACACTCACTATTTTGCGATTCAAAAATATGTCTTGATCTTGGTGTTTGTATTGTGGTACTGTCTTTGTGAATCCAGATATGAACCATATAAGCACTGACCAATCAGAGGCCTTTATTTGCGGGGCAGGCTGTAGATCTGGGCTGGGGACTGCAGTCCTCGGGTGCAGGTCTACGATGCCAGGTTCAGGGTTCCCGCTAGCACACAATGAAAAAACAATGAGACAGTGGGTGAGACCATGAGCAGTGAACCTGATGCTTCTGGAGCTTGGGTCAAATGCGTCTCCGTTCCCTCTGTGCTCTCCTCAGGTGCTTCGGAGAGCCGCCGGTGCTGGAGCGGCTCAGAGCGGCAGACAGATGTGCCGCGCTTCAACAGCGAGGAGCGCAGTCTGGCCCTGAGGTTGTGTGGCTGGACGTCCCGTGGGTCTGAGCAGGATGTGGAGCTCCTCTTGAGGACGCTGGAGCAGGAGCAGGAGTGGGAGAGAGCCGCCGCTGTGGCTCTATTCAATATGGACATACGGCGAGCCATCCAGATCCTCAACAAGGGAGCTACTGCAGAGAGGGGTGAGCAAGCTTTACATATGTACTAAGAGAGCTACTGTGGTGAGAGGTGAGAGCTACTGCAGAGAGAGGTGAGCAAGAACCCAGCATGTACTTTTCTAGCAGCTTTGCTATGTTCTAACACTGTTCCCTTGTCAAAAATGTACCTTTTTTATACACCCTTCATTACTGCCACTTGTAATACTCCTAGCTAGCTACCTTCCCATACCCATTTTTTGTTGTTGCATAATTCGGCTATTTTTGTTTAAGTTAATGGCTTTTTACAATAACTTTTTGATTCTTTTTTTAAAAGAGTATATAAAGGTTTATAAAATTGTTTTTTTGTCATGACAAAAGAAAAGTTTGCAAACATTCCGATAATCCAATACCAAACACACAAAAAGGAGAGAGGAGAAGAGAGAAGAGAGAAGAGTGGAGGAAGGAGAGGATAGAGGGGAGAGGAGAAAAGAGGTGAGGAGAAGAGAGGAGAGGGAGTAGGGCTGCTCTAGTCAAACATCAACATTGCAATATTTCTGAACAACCTTGTTTTGTATCAGTTTCAGCTGGCGTCCAATGTTTGATTGTTGATTGTGATTGACAAAGTTGTGCCGCGGTTTGGGGAACACTGCTGTAGTTAGTGTCAGGATCAATCGTTGTTAAAGTAACTGTGTTTGAGAACCTGAGCACTCACTTCTAAAGACCACGTATAGAGCACTCCAGTACCTTGAAGCCTGTACACATAATATAAGAGGTCATTTTGTCACCGTTCAAACAGTGATGTCAACGGGACGTACCGAGGGCCCTGTGTCCAAGTGTCTTGAAAGGGGAAAATTCCAGCTTGTCTGAGTTTCTTTAGTATGAGCGATGATGGCTGATTCACTGGAGAAAGGAGTGTACACATGCAAAAGAGAAATGTGTGTTTGTGTGAGTGCTCAGGTCAGTGTGTTCCCTCAGTTGCCAGAAAATGTGTTTGAGAAGTAACTTGCTCTAAAGACTTTCCCAGGCACTCTGCATACTGGAGAAGGGTGTAAACATAGACAAGTTTGATATCCCTGCAATCGCACCTCAGCAGTTGGTTAGAAAAGTGTATAAAGTGTGTGTGAGAGCTTTTACAGCATTAAAACATAGAACTTCCACTTCAAGGATTTCACTTATTATGGGTTTTTACTAGAACAAATCATCCCCGCGATAAACCAGCGATAAACCAGGGACCAGTGTTTTCTTGTTCGCTTCTCGCACTGGTCTGAAATGGTGGTGTTTCTGCAGGTGACCTTAACCTGAACGTGGTGGCCATGGCCCTGTCTGGATACACAGATGAGAAGTCGTCTCTGTGGAGGGAGATGTGCAGCTCTCTCAGACTGCAACTCAACAACCCCTACCTCTGCGTCATGTTCGCCTTCCTCACCAGCGAGCCCGGCGCCTATGACGGAGTGCTGGTAAGGATGGCTCTGAAGGTGATGTCTGTGTCTCTCTGGTCTCTCTCTGGTCTCTGGACTCTCTCTTGTCTCTAACAGTTTAGTCTAATTAAATGTATTTGGTTTATGCCTAATATATTAAGCAACAACTAGCTTCCTAGATTCTCTGTATAATAATCTGTAACTTTAATTGTAATCTATGTTTACCATATGAATCTGTAGCATAATCTCAAGAATTTTTCTAGTTGAATGTATTGATTATAGTCCCTTCTCTTGCCATAACCACTGCCACTAAGATCTGCTGGAGGAGTTAGAAAAGACCTGTCCTGGCCCAGTGTGACTTTCTGTATAATGTTATGTGGCTCTGACACAAAGGAGTCTGTGAGAACATAAACGCTATTTCACAGTGTCATCCAGCCAACTTCAGCTCTGCCAATATAGCCGTGGTATGTCACGTTGTCTTATCTCAGGTATCTTTAGACACGGGTTTATTATCCCCTGTTTTATGAACTGATATTCTATAAAGCCCTGTTTCCACCAGCTCTACCACTCTACCCTACTCTACCCTGCTCTACTCTATTGTTCTGCTCTACTTTTCTCTACTCCACACGGCCCTACCCTGGTCTACTCTACTCTACTCTACTCTCCCCCGATTGGGAGTAATTCCACTGGCCCTGTTTAACTGGTACCAGGTCCCACTTTGCCCTGGATCTATCCAGGCTGACCTGGTACTCTCCCTCCAAGCCTCTCCATAGGTCCCTGTAGGGTTGATGTGTCTCAGTGATGTTTCTGTTGTGGTTTCAGAATGAGAGCAGTGTGGCGGTCAGGGACAGAGTGGCCTTTGCCTCCATGTTTCTGAATGACACTCAGGTGAGATATTGTTTTATTATGTTCTTTACACACTTCTGTGTCATAAAAGAGTGAAGTGAGGCTGCCCTATCAGATGCCCAGATGCATACACACACACAGACACACACACGTTGTGTATTGTTGAAAAAAACCTTCTAAGGCTTAGAATTTAAGCCTTTCTCAGTGGAGTTTCCATGTTCTCCCCATGTCTATTTAGGGTTCCTCCTAGTGGCCCGATTTCCCCTACCAATGAAAACATGTTTAATAGGTCTGACTGTAATGTGTGAAAAATTGGATGGTTAGAGGCTTCAATAGCATCTTGCTTCTTCTCACCACGTGGAGTGAATAGAAATTACTGGTACACAAAAACATTGAACTCAATAAACACTAGTCAGGCCCAACCCTTGTGCCAAGACCAGACAAGATCAGGCATCGGCTAATTGGCTCTCACATACTTCTCTGCACAGGCCTTTAGTAGAACATTCATAGATTAGATCTTACATTTTTATGACATAGATTAGAGTCACTAATACTAGTAACTGTCAGTGTTGGATAACATTACATAAGAGTACAATTAAGGCTTGTGTTTGTTATTTTTGTCCTATTTTGTTGCATTTGATCTTTTTGCGTACTCTGGTCTCTGGTTTATCACAGGGGTTATGTATTGTAAAATAAGCCACAAAAGGTGAAATCCTTAAAGTAACAGCTGTATGTTTTAAGGCTGTAAAACCCATCACACACTTACTACACTTTTCTAGCCAGCTGAACTCACGACTGCTGAAGCACCATTGCAGAGACATCAAACCTGTTGGTTGTTGGTTCGAGCACTGCTGCATTTGTTGAAAGCCTTGCATACAGCTGTATTACAGCTGTGAGATACAGCTGCAGAGAACACCAAGACAGGAGGGCAGGAGCAGGACTGAGGGTTACGAGAAGACTATAGCGAGAGACCAGCGAGAGACCAGCGAGAGACCAGCGAGAGACCAGCGAGAGACCAGCGAGAGACCAGCGAGAGACCAGCGAGAGACCAGCGAGAGACCAGCGAGAGACCAGCGAGAGACCTGCGAGAGACCTGCGAGAGACCAGCGAGAGACCAGCGAGAGACCAGCGAGAGACCAGCGAGAGACCAGCGAGAGACCAGCGAGAGACCAGCGAGAGACCTGCGAGAGACCTGCGAGAGACCTGCGAGAGACCTGCGAGAGACCAGCGAGAGACCAGCGAGAGACCAGCGAGAGACCAGCGAGAGACCAGCGAGAGACCAGCGAGAGACCAGCGAGAGACCAGCGAGAGACCAGCGAGAGACCAGCGAGAGACCAGCGATAGACCAGCGAGAGACCAGAGAGAGAGAGACAAAAAGTTTACTTCTATATGTCATTATACTAGCGGTTACATTTACGCATCACAAAAAGTAAACCAAGTTACAGTGAGGGACGAGTGGAACTGAGAGTAAAGAGTTATTTTTATGAGGCAAGCAGGAGCAGCTGCTGTCATGAAAGACCTGATGTTGCCTTAATCATACACACGCATCTCCACATAACACAGTCTGCTTTGACTGATGTGACTGTTTCTAATCATTCACCACTTCTGAAATGGAGTATCCAATCAAAACCATTACAGACAGGGTTTCTTACCTAATACTGTAGATGCAGTTTGCCATGTTCATCTTTCCTATAGATTAACAACTGGACTTCAACTTTCTCTGGTCTCTCTCTGGTCTCTCTCTCTCTGTTGTCTTTCTGGTATCTGTCTGTTTCCAGTTACCTCGATACATTGACAAGCTCAGCGGCGAGATGAAGGAGACAGGGAACCTGGAGGGTATCCTGCTGACCGGACTGACGAAAGACGGAGTGGACCTGATGGAGAGCTACGTGGACCGGACCGGAGATGTGCAGACAGCCAGCTTCTGCATGCTCAAGGTACCATTAATTAAGAACTATACTGTTGTAAAGCAGCATTATGAAATGTCTCTGATCTGGTCGATAGCCTGTATACAGTATATAGCTCTATAAAGCCCAATATGGAAGTGTTCATGGTGAGATTTTACTCCCACTCTCTCTAATTATCTTACATGTATAAATGTACTCCCCTTGCTCACCATTTTGGGCTAGAGTACAATAGAACAGTGAAGAGCAGCCACCACAGTGAAATAGCTGCTGCCCACTCACCCACAGAGTGCTCTCTGCGTGAGCTTTTGAAATGGAACACCTGGTTATTGATTGTTTCGTTCGATCGGTGCAGCGCCCTTCCCTGTGGAGGAATGTGAGCGTTTACAGCTGCGACAGGAGAGGGCCGCGGAGAGAGATATGAGCACAACGCAGCACTCTGCCCAAGGACAGGTCAGAACAGGAGACTGAAAAACAGATCATCCTGGTTTTGACATGTGGACTAATTTAGGAGACCGTGGGAATTTACAGGACTTAGAGTTGAGTATAGTTAAGTTATTCTTTAGGGTACTTGTACGGAAATGTGTTCTCTGCATTTGACCCTCTATTACATACATGTCAAAGTCAAATACATCAGAGGGCCAAAAAAACAAATTGAATACAAGTCGAGGGCCAGACTGGTTCAACGTTTATTAAGACATATTACAATGATTGCATATGACCTCTTGAACCAAGACCTAACACACTGTACCATATTTCATTTCATAATTAAATGAATAATCTAATATTTTTGTATTGCTCTGTCAGTAATTTCAAGTGTAAAAAAAATGTTCAACAGGCTCTCAGACAAAAACATTCTTCCTTCAAAGAGAAAACACATTAAATAAATAATCCAATATTTTATACTAATCGAATATCATCCTGGGGGCCAAGATAATTCATGTGCAGGCCCAGATCTGGCCCCCGGGCCTTGACTTTGACACCCATGCTCTATCAGGAGCAGTGGTCGCCGCACTGCAGCGCCCGGGGACCCGTCTCCAGATGTTGATGCTGGGAGTTATTGTGCATGGTTAGGTGAAACAGGAGCACCCCGAGGAAACCTAACTCCACTCAGAAAGTCCCTGTTCTAACCTGAACTGAGAAGTGAGAGTTCTAACCACTCAGCCTCCAGGCCGAAGGGAGGAGATCAGAGCTTTACCTAATCCTATTGACTTTCATGTAAAAGTAAACTCTGGCTCAGTAACCGTTTGTGTCACACTCACCATTTTGGGATTACATCCGTGGTGTAGCCCTCTCTGTGATCCTGGTGTTTATACTGTTTGGTCAAAATCCATATTGTTTATATTGGTTGGTCAAAAATTCTTTGTAAATCCAGGTATAAGCCATATAAGGTTTGGCCAATTAGATGCTTTCATTCACAGGGGAGACTCCAGCTTGCCTTTACAGCAAGTCTGCCCCTCTTTCTGTGCACAGCTCACGTCCAGCTTATGTTCAAACAGATTTCTTCCGCATTAAGGCTGACTGTGGTGAAATCACACTCGCTCAGTCCACTCCTGATATATGCATTATAGGTGAGAAAGGGTGTGTCTAACCGGGACTTGATTTTGAACTGAAATGTCTCTCCACAATTGAAAAAGGAACTGAGGTTCCATCTCTTTGCGAAGACTACAGCCATCTCTCTCGGATGGCTGTAGTCGTCGCATGCAAACTCTCATAATGACTCTTGTCCATGTGATAGGGCTCCACTGGGGATGTGCTGAAGGACCCTCGGGTTCAGTGCTGGATTGAGAACTACAGGAACCTCCTGGACGCCTGGAGGTTTTGGCACCGACGGGCGGAGTTTGACATCCACCGAGGAAAACTGGACCCCAGCTCCAAACCGCTAGCACAGGTGATCCTCTGGCCTCTTTGTGTCTTTCTTTCTGTTCTCTCTCTGGTCTCTCTCTGGTCTCTCTCTGGTCTCTCTCTGGTCTCTCTCTGGTCTCTCTCTGGTCCCACAGTCCTGCTCCTGCCGCTCAGCGCGGTATCCTCTGTAGCTGTATTTTACAGTGTATGCACAACTTTTGGCAGCTGCAGCAGCACTGAGACTTACAACCATCATGACTGATATCTCTGTGACCGCACTTCAGCAATTGTGAGTTCAGGTGGTTAGAAAATGGCTTAATGACTTCCGGCGCCGTGCCGGCGTGGCCAGGATGGAAGCAGGCAAACACAAAGCAGAAGATTGAAACAACAGTGGGTGACGCAGTAGACTCGGGAGACGCGGCAGACGTGGGAGAAGCTGCAGGAAAAGAACACATCACTAATCGCATTCTCTGCCCCACCGCCGGCTATGATAATGATGATGATGAAAGCAGTTCTTGAGAGAAGAAGAAGAGTATAGAAACTTTTTGAAAATAAATCTTTACACAAAAATTGACATTATCCAACATGGCCGCCATATTGATAATGTCACGATATGCAAATTAAATGATGAATCAACTTCCATCCTTCATTTTGCTTCATACTAAACATATTTTTCATTTACAGTATGCCTTTATCTCAAACCACTTTAAAGTTTTAGCCTTTTGAAATCTTGAAATTGTACATTTTGTTGAAAAAACTCTGGCAACTAAATGATCAACATGTTGTTTTTTTAAGGCTGTATACTATTTTTTTATTTTTTATTATTTATATGTTTCTCTTGTTAAACCTACTCTTATTAATGACATTAATGTCCTATTTTATGAATGGTTAGCCAAACATTGTTGTAACAGGATTGGGCGGTGGGTGTTTTTGGGAGACTGGGGGCCTATGAGACCTGGTGGATGTTTGCAAGGTATGTCCCTGAAGCAAAAAAGAAAAATCAGGCTCAGGACCTTTTTTTGCTTTAGGCCTTGAAAATGTATAAAGTGTGTTTGAGGAGCTTTACTGCCTTAAAACATAGAGCTGCTCTTTCAGGGATATATCTTATTCTGGCTTAATGTTAGAACACATTAACCCTGCAACAAACCAGGGACCACTGTATCTCACTGGCATTTTTACCTTAAAGCTACCCTGTGTAATTTTTACAGCTGCTCCATATGAAAAAACATGTTAACTAATAACAAACGTTTTTAAGAGTATTTACCTCCACCAGGTGCACTTTATTGATCCCCATAGGGCAATTCATCCTCTGCATTTGACCCATCCTGATGCCACTAAGGTTTACGTCAGGAGCAGTGTTCGCCATAGTAACAGCGCCCGGAAACCCATCTCCAGATGTTGATGCTTGGCTTGGTCAGGACTACCAGAGCTGGTACCTAGTGTGCATGTGTTTAGTGGAAGGGAATCCGGAAGTACCTGGAGGAAACCTACGCAAGCATGGGGAGAACATGCAAACTCCACTCAGAAGGACCCTGTTCTGACCGGGATTCGAACCCAGGACTTTCTTGCTGAGAGCCGGAGTGCTATCCACTCAGCCACCGTGCCGCCCAGCTCCTGTACATCTCCTGCTTCTTTGATCATCGTAGTCTCCTCTTCTCTTCACACTGCGTTTGTAAAACTATATATTATAATAGATCCCACGTCTGAACACGGTCTTGTTTACATGCCGGCTCCACGCGACTGTCGAGTGCCCGAGACGTTTGGAGAGATCCGGTCATTTATCAAACTAAAGTAGGAGCACTGTCTTTGAGCGCTCCTAAACTCAAAGGCTTCCGTACTATATTGGACTGCAATATAAGATCTCAACGCTAGATGGCACTAAAAATTACACAGTGTACCTTTAAGTTTGGCCTTTTATATTCCTTGTTTTGAATATGAATATGAGATCTGTGTAGCATTTTTACATGTTTGTTCAAACTAAGGAAAATGAATGTAAAATGACACATTAGTGGGCTGAGCTGCATGTCTCCCTGCTGTAGGTGTTTGTGAGCTGTAATTTCTGTGGGAAGTCCATCTCGTACAGCTGCGCGGCCATGCCTCACCAGGGCCGCGGCTTCAGTCAGTACGGGGTCAGCGGATCTCCCACCAAGTCCAAGGTGACCAGCTGTCCCGGCTGCAGGAAGCCTCTCCCCCGCTGTGCCCTGTGCCTTATGAACATGGGCACACCGGTCTCCAACTGCCCAGGTAACTAACTACTAGCGCTTGTGCAATAGACCCAGCCCTCCTACTGGGTAAAAGACTCAACTTGAACTTTTGTAAATGTTGTACGACTACAACCATGGACTGTATTTAGATCAAGCACCTAGTCTTCAAAATGTCTGCCAAATGTTTCCAAGATGTCTGCTCCTGGTCTCCAAGGTGTTGGACCATTCAGATCAATGTCCTGTGCTCATTGGCTAATGCTCACACCATGGACGTCCAAACATTAGCAGAAGTGAGGCTCTTGTTTCCTTGGTCTTGTGCAGTAGGTGCACAGAGGTTCTACTTCAGCAGGACCAGAGTAACACATGATCTCATGCTCGTACACAGAGTGACTTATGAGCTTTCTGACCAATCAGAGCACCACAGAGAGAGACCAGAGAGAGACCAGAGAGAGACCAGAGAGAGACCAGAGAGAGACCAGTGAGAGACCAGAGAGAAACCAGAGAGAAACCAGAGAGAGACCAGAGAGAGACCAGAGAGAGACCAGAGAGAGACCAGAGAGAGACCAGAGAGAGACCAGAGAGAGACCAGAGAGAGACCAGAGAGAGACCAGAGAGAGACCAGAGAGAGACCAGAGAGAGCCAGAGAAAGAGAGACCAGAGAGAGACCAGAGAGAGACCAGAGAGAGACCAGAGAGAGACCAGAGAGAGACCAGAGAGAGACCAAAGAGAGACCAAAGAGAGACCAGAGAGAGACCAGAGAGAGACCAGAGAGAGACCAGAGAGAGACCAGAGAGAGACCAGAGAGAGACCAAAGAGAGACCAAAGAGAGACCAGAGAGAGACCAGAGAGAGAGACCAGAGAGAGAGACCAGAGAGAGACCAGAGAGAGACCAGAGAGAGACCAGAGAGCAGGGCTGGACTGGCCATCGGGCGTACCGGGCAATGCCAGAAGGGCCGATGCCCATATTTGGGCCGGTCTGTTTGCCTCATACAAAAAACATGTTTGTGAAAAGTGTAAATCCATTGAGAACTGTTCAAGGGGAGCGCGCGTGTCCGCGGGGCACCTGCTGCATGTACTCGAACGGGATTCCACCACCTCAGCGGCCGCAGTGTTCCCACATCCAGCGGCTCTGAGCTGGACGCAGGAACCGCTCACCGGGAACCGCTCACAACACAACACGGCGAGCGCGTAGCCGCAACGTGACCATGTACCCAAGACCATAAACGCGCACAGGACCATGCGTGTCTTTGCGTAATTTGTGCACCCAATAAATACACCGCTGCAGGAAACAGTCCGCGTCTCCCCTCTCCTCTCGAAGTGCGACTAAATTAAAGCTCGGGTACCTAAATTTTCCATTGCATTAAAAGTTCATGTTTGAGCCCAAAAGTAAAATGTTGTGAACAGATTAAACAGATTTAGAGCCAGCAAATGGCTGTCAATATGCATTTCAGAAATGTTTACCAATTCTCATCCCTGTAACAAACAATAGTATTGTCTGTGCCCACCTCCCTCACTCTGAGACATGTTTATTACTCTGTTTAATGTAGACTATTGTACTTTGTTTTATTGTTGAAACTGCAGACATCCTGATCCTCTACAGTATTTGCTTCCACATACTGTATAAACCAGGGGTCGGCAACCTTTAGTGCTCCTCCAGTGGCTCCTGGAGCCTTTTAAAAAATGTCTGAAAATGGAGTGTGAGGGCTATATTTTATTTCTAGTTTCAATGTGGTTTCTGTAGGAGGAACAACATTCTTAACGTTTTTCAATGCTGCAAAAACTTGTATAAGTAATATTCAATTTTAACTGTGTGTGCGCATGGATCCCAAAGATAAAGAGAGAAAGAGTCGATAAGACTGGACTAAGAATGAGAATGAACATTTGCTTTCAGTCAATGAGGAAGAACTGCTTCATGTTTGTAATGAGAAGTTTTGTTGCAACAGGAGGAACAATGAAGCTTTAAACAGTGTTCACTGAAAGATTCATTCATCATAAAGTCAGAGCACCTATTTTCAGACTTCAAATACCTTCGCTAAGACGGTGAAAGAAAAGGCCATTAAGGACATTCAGCTCCAGCAAACTTCAGCCTGTGATGGATATGAATAGACAGTGATGCAGGTGAACTCTGAGCCAAAAAGCAGATTTATTTACTGTATTTGTACAATTGCAAGAAGGTTAAAGTTAAAGCAGAGTTGTCACGTGGTGCGTCTCCAGGACACGCTGCAATGAAAATACACATCTGATAATCATGAATGGTTTTTATGTGTTTGTAGCCTTTACTTTGTCATTTAGATATTAGGCTAATATAGCTAATATAGCTAATGTAGCTAATACAGCTTCAGCCCCTGTTACCTTCATATAAGCCTTATACAACGCTGTTTTGTTTTTTTGCGGCTCCAGACACATGTTGTGTTTAGTTTTTTTTGTCAAATATGGCTCCTTGAACCTTTTGAGTTGCCTGGGCCGCTAAGAAGGAAAAAATGCCCGGGCCGTTTTTTTGTCCCAGTCCAGCCCTGCCAGAGAGAGACCATACGAGACCTTTAAGTTTAAACTTAAACTTAAAGGATTGATTTAGAAAAACCTGCAAGTGAAAGCCAGTGGCTACTATAGCCTTTGGTTAAAGTGGTCCGCACATTAAAAGCGGGTTTCCCCTTTGTGATGTTACTTGCGTTAAACGTGGAAAAGGAAGCTGCAGGGATGAGCAACCAAAATGCAATGTTTCTAATTCATCATCACAGTGAACAAGTGCGCAGTGAAAGTAGTTGCAAAAGTTGTTCTAATTAATTTTTATCCCCTCATCCCCCCGGCTTCCCTTTCTTCGTTTACCGTAGGTGACAGTATAAATAGGCAACCCGCTTTTGATGTGCGGACCACTTTACTGCTGCGGTTTTTCGCTGTTCTTTTCCAAAGGAATTAGAAAAAAAACTTTATCTGGCCCCAGTGGGCCGTACAACCGACCACACAACAAGAATGGACCACTTGATTTATTAAAACCTCTCTCCAAACGTCTAAAACTAGCTAACTCTCTTGCATCCATGTAGCTTTCTATGCTGTTTTGCCACCTAGTCACGTGACCGGCGCTGAAAAACTATAAACAACGACGTCACTCCACGATCTGCCTATAAAACCTGTGCATTTTTATTATCTTATGTTATCGGTAATCCCGAGCTCAGCATGTCTCTGTTATCGGCAGGTCCGGGAAAGTCCGAGGAGAAGACAGATCTGACCAGAGAGAACAAACTGGCTCAATTCAACAACTGGTTCACCTGGTGTCACAACTGTAGGCACGGCGGCCACGCAGGACACATCCTCAGCTGGTTCAGGTGAGCACAGGGACACATCCTCAGCTGGTTCAGGTGAGCACAGGGACACATCCTCAGCTGGTTCAGGTGAGGGTGTGGACCATAACTCCTGCTTCTTAGGCCCCGACTTCACTGGCTGCGTAAAACGTACCACGAATCTGTCCAAACGTGTCCGTTTCATCTCCGTCTCCGTTCTCTCCATGAGGGTGAATGGAAGTGGCTCCACTGCCCGCGACGTGCGTCCGTCCGCTGAGGGTGCAACGGACGCGGACGGACGAAATAGAAACAATCCTATTTTTTACGTCCGTCGACGCGTATTCTGATCCGTTTTCCATTGAAAAATATATTTTCCACATTATTATACATGTATTGATACAGTATATGCTGTCGTCCTGGTTAAAGTGTTTGTTAATGACAATGATTATTAACAAATGTAATTTATTGTCATAAATTGTAAATTGTAATAAAATGAAACAATTGTTTCTTGATCGTAAATCTACATTTTTTTTTTGCGTAATGTTAATACGCTAAACTTTACATACACCTCGCTCTTTTTGCTCTCGCTCTGCCGCTTCTACCTCCGAGGCGCTCTCTCCTCACTGCCGTGCGCACCCCCCCACACACACACACACACACACACACACACACACACACACACACACACACACACACACACACACACACACACACACACACACACACACACACACACACACACACACACACACACACACACACACACACACACACACACACACACACACACACACACACACACACACACACACACACACACACACACACACACACACACACACAGAGCTGCAATAATGATAGACAGATCTCACAACAACACGGGATATGTTGGAGTTCTTTTCTCTTTTCTCTCTCCCCTTTTTCCAAATGCTTTCAATAAGTTTTGCCTCATCCATCGCGACGTCCTCGATGCTTCAACAGTGCCGTGCTTTGCACAGATCATAGCCACAGCTCATGCACATCACACACCGCTTCTTCTATTTCACGGGGTGCTGTTAAACGCACAGCCAGAGCTCCGCGCTGCTGCAGCCGGTTTGGCCACTATTCCGTTTTACGGACGTCTCACGGGCAGCAGCCAACGCGCGTCAACGGAGACGCGCCCGGTGGAGTCCTGGCCTTAGAAAGAAGGTCCTGGGTTTGATTACCTAAACACTACTAAAGACTACTAACACCATCTATTTACATCTAGGCTCTTTTGAATGTTGTGAGGTCACAGGAACACAATGGTTTTTCCCTAATTATACACTCTGTTCTGGTGTGTTGTTTTGTGCAGAGACCACAGTGAGTGCCCCGTGTCGGCCTGCACCTGCAGATGCATGCAGCTGGACACAACGGGGAACCTGGTGCCTTCAGACAGCAGCTAGACCGGACCACCAGCAGCTACTAACCCTCACCTGGGGCTCTCCGGGGGCTCAAGGGTGCGGATAATCCGGGATGTGAAGAAGGGAGTGAGTGAGTGTTACTGATCAGACTAACGCAATCAAAGGACAATCGCACATCACTAGGTTATGAAGAGTCCAGGGTCAATGTTAAACCATAAGAATACCTACTTTAGTTAAGCAGACAACGCAACCATGTAGAGTGTATTAGATGTAGATTAGATGGGAGTAGATTAGATGGGATCAATGTTCAAACATCATGTTTTTAGTAAGAGGGCCACTTTAGTTCACCATACTTGTCCAGAGGTTGGCATCACAGATAGTAAAACTGTTTTGACCAGATAAGTCCATATAGATTCACATTTGACAGAAGTTGGCTCATGTTTACTATCTCGCCAAAGTTGAATTTGTGCCATATATGGAAGTTTGGGACAACATTGGTCAGTTTATACAAATAAAGTAGACGACTGGATTCCAAAGGTTCTGAGCTTCGTGTCTATATAGGTGAAGCTGAAGGCTTGATGACACTGTGCCTGCTCTAATCCTTGGCGAGTATATTAATCCTGGACTCTTGATGTCTTGGTGATGTCACATGAATATTCACAGGTGTTGGTCTGGTTCACTTTAAATGGACCGATAATGGTTCAATTGGAGAAAAAACCTGAGAAAAATCTGTTTGACAAGACTCTCTAGTCTCTTTCTGTGGTCTCTTTCTCTGGTCTCTCTCTGGTTTGTCTTTCGCAAGATAGAAACTGATTTAAAGAAGAAATATTTTACTATTTCTTGCATTGAGACTATTTTCGTGTTTTAAATGTGAATGATAGATTCAGTGGAAAATATTTGGGGAAACAAGTATGAATGATCCCGGAGTTTATATCATAATATAAACACCAGGATCTCACAGAGTGGTACACCACAACTAAGCCCAAAATGGTCAGTGTAACAGATACTGAGCTAGAGGCGTTTACTTTATGTTAGTCAATAGAAGCCAGAGTGAGTTAGACCAAAACTTTATCCATGAGCTCTTCCCTGTTGGGTTTCATTGAGCTAGCGAGATAGCATTGTCCATCTGTAAACAGTCTATAATTTTGCATCCACAAGTTAACCAGATTTGGTCAAGTTAAAGCGAACTAGACCAACTGGTAAGAATGACATATAAAGGGAGAAAATGCAGCTTCACTTATAGAATCGCTCAGGACGTAAACACTGAGGAATGTCACCTGTAAATCAATTGATCTATTAAAGCAGATGTATAAAATAATATTTTCCAATGTTTTATTTGTGATTTCCTACAATTTGCTGTGAATGTAATAAAGATCTATAGCTGGGGAACCTGACTTTGAAACCTCAATGATGGAACTGTTTAATAAAATCTGTTAAACTAGTGACTGGTTTGTTTATATTACTAGTTTTCAAATGCTTATATTTTGGTCTGGTGTTCCTCTGGTCTCTCTCTGGTTTCTCTCTGGTCTCGCTCTGCCAAAAGAATGACTTTGCCTAATGTGTATGGGTTAATGTTTACGTGCATGTGTGTGTGCGTGGTAATGAGGACTCCCTTCCACTCGGCTTTAGGGGGTCGACTGCCTGGTGCTCTTGTCAAAGGGAGGCACACTCCCCCCTCCTCCCCCTCTCTCCTCAGCAGAATACAGCAGCTGCTCGGCACACTGTCCAAAATCCTCCAGATTGTTCCCTTCATAAAGAGCTTCAGCTGCCGGAACAGTGAGGGAGGGGAGGATTGTACGCCCCTTCCACACATGCTCCTACAGCGAGGGAGGAGAGGAAAGGGGGTAGGGGGTAGGGGGGGACCCTCAACACGCACTCAGAAAAGAAAGGAAAAGAAATGTCTGCATGTTCACTCTTGTGCTGCTCAGTACCAATGTTATAATCCAAAAAGTATGCAGTAAACATTTGGCCTTTGTGTATCCTGAGTCCTTTTAGTCTTTACAATCTTAAAGTTGGGGTAACTAACTTTCAAACCACACACACAAAACAAATAATGGTAAAACTTATGTCTCTAGTTCCCAAAAAACTTTCATCTGCTTTCATCACTAGTTTTCACAACATATATTTCTGGCCTCTGTCGCATCTTTACTGTAATAACTGTATTAACTGTAATAACATGTGTCCACCAATGACCTGCGTGAGTGTCCGGGGCTGCTGACCAATGAAGGGTCGAGATGCGATTCTAAGTCCCGCCCCCTGCAGCAGTCTGAGAACCACAGACACAGTCGTCATTTGGACTGAGGGAGCTCCGCAGACACACACGGGAAATACGGCAGAACAGCTCCAAAAGTACATTTAGCAACTTAAAAGTAGATTTCTGGAAGCTTCGACCTTATCACGTCATGTTTTACCTGTAGTCGGGCAAGTTTGACAAGAGACAAGAGCTGTTTGGATACTTTTTTGTTCGAGCGCCTGCTGTCTGCATGAGACGAAATAAGGAAGCTAACGTCTTTCTCTGCTAAGCTAATGTTTTGTCAAAGTTTACATTGTACCACATCGGCGGGGACTGCCTCATAACGTGTTTTTAGGATTGTGGCCCTTGTGGAGAATGTCTGCTCCGAACTCTCTGCCACAGCCCCGTGTGAGGCGCAGTAATGCGGGCTCCCCTGGTTCTGTCTGCCGGCTTCACCCCATGCGCGCCACCGTCCCCTACCAGCTCCTTTTCGGGGGTCAGGCCAGTCCCCCCCGGGTGCCCTCCGTGAACAGCAGGGGCTCCAGTCCCCCCTCAAGCCCGACGCTCAGCCTAGGGACCACACAGGCCAAGCAGCAGACACTGTCCCCAGAACACAAGGACTCAAGCTGTCCTCCTGACTCTCCAGTGTCCAGAGGTAATGTCCTCCTGACTCTCCAGTGTCCAGAGGTAATGCTGGACACATCAAACACAATGTTGTACATGTCTACTTTATATTGAGGGTTGCATGGGTAGATGTCTACTTGTTTAGGGACCTACAACATGGATTTAAAAACTGTGTTAACTGGATTTTGTGCTGTTCTAGGCGTTTAAATGGTATGAAATCTCCACATCATACCGCAGCTATCTCTGCTGTTCACATAAACACGCTGATGCAGGAATGTGTGCTACACCATCTACTCTGGAGAGCAATAGCTGATAGAAATGTGTCCCACCCCAGGGGGCGTTTAAACGCAATACAAGTAGGTTTAAAAGTTTTAAAAAGTTATACCAGAAAGTACAGTACTGTAGGGCATGTGCCCATGTGCACAACAGAGGCTCCAGTCCCCCCTCAAACCCCCTCAAGTGTGGGTTTTCTGAGTTGTAGGTTGGTGGTTTGAATTAGGGATGCACAATATATTGGTGTAGATATTGATATCGGCCGATGTTCATCATTTTTTAACCTATTGGCAAAATGGGCCGGTAACCACTACCTATGTGTATTGCTGGGTTGCAGCTGACGTCACGCAGTGGCATGAGGGACAGAAAGTAAATCTCCCTATTTAGAGCGATGTAAATATTCACTGATTCCGAGTACAATTGTGGCAACTGCTCATATCACGTGGAGAACTTATGGAGTCTGCGTACAAACTTGTGTTAAAAAAAAAACAAAAGACACATATCAATATCAGTCATCGGCCATGACAGAAAAATGTATATTTTATCGGCCAAAATGTTCATATCTGTACATCCCTAGTTTGAATCCTGCAACAATACAATGCAATACAATACAATACAATTCATTCTTGTATAGCCCTATATCACAACATAAGTAATCTCAGAGGACTTAACAAAACCATTGAATCACCAACACAGATCAGAGAATCAACAGTTAAAACACAAAGAATATAGAACACATGCTGATAAATGTCATACATGTTGTAGAATGTTAAAGTGTCCTGGATCATCACAGTCTTTCTAGTTGGACACTAACTGCCCAACAGACCCTCCTGCATCGGCAAGGAAAAACTCTTTAAAAAAGTGAGAAACCTCAGGGAGACCAACATAACTGCCTATTTTGATTCTCTCTCTCTGGTCAGACACCAGAGACCATTCTCTTATTGTAGCATCTGGAGTGTTGTTGCTCAGTTCCTTCAGACTAACCTGAATTCCAGAAAAGATGGATTTGTCCCAGTTGTAGCTGATAAACTCTCGCTCTCACCATATATTACATTTTTAATTTCCAACTGAGATCTCGTGTGTGTCTGCATGATTGTGTGATAGTGTGTGTGTTCTCAGCGTCGTGCTTCACATTCCTCTGCCCTTTGAATGAGATGACCTCCAACCTTGACCAGTCTACCATGTAAGACAGGAAACAAAGTCTTCCAGTACAGCAGGCGTACTCGGGCTCTCCTGTTCTGCCTAGTACCAGCTCGGAGGCTCTCATGGTCTTTTCCTGGTACTGGCTTGTTGTTGGATCTTCTGCACAGAAGTGGGAGGCTCTTTAACTGGCTCTATAGAGCTTGAGAGCTTGAAAAGCTGGGGAAACAACTGGAGATAGGACAATAACCATGTAGAGTTGGCTTTCTCTTGTAAAATCGTTTAAATGCCGTCAGCATCTCACGGTGGGTGGATGGACCTGGGCTGAGGACATAAATGAGTGAATTGTCTTATGGTGAGAAATGGAGGCACATACTTCCGTTTGTGGTTGACAAACAAAATAAAAGGCATAATGTCTGACTTCTCAATTTCAGTCTGACTCCAAAACAATCCACAAAAGTCCCTGTCCTGTCCATGACAGCTGATGCTGAGTCCAAAACTTTTTAGTAAGAGGGCCACTTTAGCTCATTGGACTTGTCTAGTGGCAGATGACCCCGTGGCAAACTGCTATCTGGATTCAGGGTTTTGAGCTATAAATCAGGTATGACATAACCACAATGATTCACATCTAGAAAATGACGCATAGGGCTGCCATTGACTCCCGGGCCTCGATTTGAAATGCCTGATCCACATAGTGCATCTTTTTAGTATGTTTTCTGAACCACATGCAGTAACTTGCCTCTCCTCACAAATCCACTCATCGCTCTTTAGCTCACACTTCGCTCCACTGTTATCTTTGTTTTTGGGGAAGGGTGAACTGTGGCTGTGTCCAAACTGAAAAAGCACAATGACCTCACGTCAGAACTGGACTCGATGCTGACTGACCAGATCTTGTCCATGACCTTTGACGTTTAGAGCCCAGTGCTGACATCACTCCTACGCAATGTCACCGTCAAAAGCAGCTCTGTGTGTGAAATGACTTTTCATTCACGTCGACTGTTTGTGCGTGTTTGTTTGAAACATACTCTTCTCTGCAGACTTTCTAGGCCCCTAGTGTTGGGTACTTATTCTAGTTTTCAACATAATATTTAGATCAGAGGTGTCTAAACGTCTTACTGAGAGGGCCAATTTAGTTCAGCAGACTTGTTTTAACTGGAATCAGCCTATTTTAAGATTCAAAATGAGGTATGACAGGTGTATGCACAGATGAGAGCTGAAATTGGCTGAATGATGAATGTTGACCTTCTCACCAGCTACATCAGCATTAGGGGTGTGACGATATATCGATTTTTCGATATCTCGCTATACTTTCTCCCGCGATCCGATTATCGATATACATTTGACAAGTATCGATATCGATTTAGAAAAAAAATAAATGGATTTCTTTTTTTTTTTTACAAAATATTTTTCTGAATTGGTATCAATATTTTATATATGGCTACATTACACATCTCCATTCCATTTATCATGAAATAAAGTGGATTTTTTCTTTTATTTATGCCATAAATTGGCATATTATATATTTCTGACCGATATATTGATAATCGTGATAAAATTGTTATCGTGATAATATTGTTATCGTGATAAAATCGTTATCGTGATAATATCGTTATCGTGAGCTTTGTATCGTATTGTATCATGAGGTACCCTTAGGTTCCCACCCCTAATCAGCGCCATAAAGACATTTCTAATAATTGGATTCTGGAGGTACTGATCTTTACATCAAGGTATCACATGCCTATGTTGGCAGGGGTGAAGTTGGCTAAGTGACACTGAATAGAGCGCCACATATCGACCAAGCCCCGGCGATCCAAAATGGCACCATATTCAAATGAAAGGTTTGTGCTCAGTGGCGCATGTGCCAGAACTGACATATTAGCGTAGCGGAGCTCGCCTATATTTGGGCATCGTCTGATCCTCCCGGTTCTGCGCAGTGGATGAGTGATACGGCTGCGCTTTGACCAATCAGCATTGCTGATCAGAGCGGGTGTCAAACGAGTTTGTGGAATTAAAGTGTAGATTTAAAGAAAACCAAAGGATTTTAGAAGAAAAAAGTTCAGGATGACAAGGGACACTAAAATCCCAGCAAAATCCGACCTTTATGAAAGCTGTAGGTTCTCTGTCAGCTGAAGTCAAGGTGTTTTAGTTTACATTGAGTTCTGTGGGGAAATTTTCTGGGTAGCCCACTTGAATTTAGTCTGCAGTACCGTGAGAACCCGGCAAGCACATGGGTCCTTCAGCTCCAAGCTGGTAATACCCTATCCAGTAGAGGTGCAACGGTTCATCACTGATCCGTGACCCGTTCGGTTCAACGTCTTCGGTTCGGTACAGACGTGATCCGCGGTTTGATTTATGAAAAAAAAAGTTGTGTGCACGTTGTTCAGTCCACACACAGCGTGGTCACGGCGAGCAGAGGAACGGAGGAGCTTGAAAGCCACGCGTCATTTAAATCCCAGTATGAGAGCATTTTGGCTTCACTGTAACTACACTGATCATTAATATTCGACAAAACTGTCACGATGTGTAAGCACTGTGGCACAAGAAAGACATGAGTGAAAAAAAGCGTCTCAATGACCGCTTATTGTCGCGGCATTTAAGCAGCTCCTTTACGCACAGTCAGACCGGGCTAAAGTCAACTCTCCCGCGCATCCTCAGCTGCGCTCACGACTGACGCTTGGACGTCCCGCGGAACCTATAATAGATCCATGAGCGGAACCGCTCACTTCATCACAGCAGACTGGGAGATGAAAAGTCTGGCGCTGAAGACACGCCCCCTCTACAACAGTCACACTGTCACACAGCACAGGTACTGACACACAGCACAGGTACTGACACACAGCGCAGGTACTGGCACACAGCGCAGGTACTGACACAAGCAGCGGAGGAATGGAAGACAAAGGCCCAGTACTAATATCCCAGTCACAACTGATAATGCCAAAAATTAAATAAATGCAGTGAATGAGGCTGGGCCCAGAATGGACCCCCTCCTCGGGAGAATCAGGAAGGTGGTTTAATATATGAGAGTAAATATTCTCATAAAGTGCCTTCTTATGTTGCACTTTGTGTTGTTTTTCATTAAATATGTTAAATAGACATAATTGGATGGATGGATGGATGGAAGGCATATTCCATCCATCCATCCATTTCCTTCCCCTTATCCATTTCTAGGTCAGGGGGGCAGTCAGAGCAGGTGCCGAGTCCACATGAGCTGTGTTTATTAAAAAGACAAAACTTTTTTATGGAAAAATGAACCGAACCGAGGTACGAACCGAACCGTGATTTTTTTCTAACCGTTGCACCCCTACTATCCAGTCATTATATTAGATCCATGATATTGACCCAACACCAGTATCGGTATCGATGCATCCCTAGTGTAAGTCAGCCTCTGTCTCTGGATTCTCCGTCTGCGTTGCTCTGCCCGGGTCCTGCTGCCTTGTACATCCCCACAGGAAGCTGCAGCGTTATGGTTTACTGATCTGCTCCACATGTTTGTTTTTACATTGGCTTCTGCTCCACTTCATAAACCGCCCCTGTATCCTTCCACTGCCGGCTTGAGGAAACTCCTGACTGTAGTCCCACTCCCCCTGGAATATTTCTTTAATATCTCACAGCAAATCCTCTGCCTGGCATGTAATCAGCAAGAGAGAGCTTTGATGTCTTGGACTTGGTCACAGTTTTATTTTCATCATTCGGAGAGAGATTATTCTGGTCTGGAAAGTTGAGACCAGAGAGAGATCTGAGAGAGACCAGAGCGAGAGAGAAGGCTGGAGAGAACCCTCTCTGCTCGGCCTGTAAAAAAAATGATGGAAAGTCTTTGTGTCTGGCTGGAAGGTACACTACCGTTCAAAAGTTTGGGGTCACCCAAGTGTTTTCCATGAAAAGTCACACTTATTCACCACCATACGTTGTGAAATGAATAGAAAATAGAGTCAAGACATTGACAAGGTTAGAAATAATGATTTGTATTTGAAATAAGATTTGTTTTACATCTAACTTTGCTTTCGTCAAAGAATCCTCCATTTGCAGCAATTACAACATTGTGCAAAAAACCAGACATTTGCAGTTAGAATAGTCATTTACCACATAAGCAAAGTATAGAGTGTATTTCTTTACAGTTAAGACTAGTTTAAAGTTATCTACAGCTTTTCCTTAAAAAATAAGGACATTTCAATGTGACCCCAAACTTTTGAACGGTAGTGTAGTTTAAAGAGCGGAGCGTACTTAGGCAGGACCGATGAGTGGGAAGCCCTGCAACAAAAGAGAAGAGCCTCTAGAGATGGTTTAGTCTGTGCTTTTCAGGCGGCGACGTGCACAGGAAATAAGCAATTTTGGATATACTCTGTCTGTGCTACAGGGGGAAATGAAAGCAGCACTAAGTAACTATATGTCAAAATATATCTTTAAAAGCATGGGAACATGGTACACTTTTAGATCACATGGTACCACCCACCTACCACTGTAGGACTGGCAAATACTATACAGAAGGACAATGCTAACCCACTAGCGCAATGAAACCCAATAGGGAAGTGCGCATGGTGAAGTTTGGCTTCTGACTCACTCTGGCTTCTGTTGACTTACATGAAGAGTAAACTCCAAGATTTTGAACGTTTTATATTGTGATGTTTATAAATCCAGATATCTCTCCTTGCTAAGACGGTTGCGACGGCAAGCTGGAGGGAAGGTATCTTATTGTAAATCCAGATATGAGCAATATAAACACCAGGATCACAGAGAGCGCTAAACTACTATGCTACTATTAAGCCCAAAATGGTGAGTGTGACACATATGGGTACTGAGCTTGAGGAGTTTACTTTTACATGTAAGTCAATAGTAGTTCTTAATGAGGTCCATCTGTATACAGTCAAAGACTGATAAATTATATAATGTAATAATAGAGCTAGATCACATTAGATTTAGGTCCACATCAAAATACCCATAATCATTATTCCTCAGTGTTCTAGCAACCCTGACCTTGCTAGAACACTCAGTGTTCCAGCAAGAAGTGTTTTAGAAGAAGTGAAAATAAGATTATTTGAAGCAGTAAAAGATAAAATGCCAAGGTTAAGGATCCTGTAAATGAGGGTGTTGTGCAGGCGTTGCGTGTCGGAGCAGAAATGCCTCTTGTCGGCTCATTGTGCTCTGGTGTTTATGACTTCTGTGGGTGGTGTGTGTTTGGCGTCTGCGAGTTCTGACGTCACAAACTCTCTTCAACCGGTGAAAAGAGCAGCATTCCAAGTGACGTAGTGACACTCTCACTATAATACGGTTCACGTTTTGAGACCTCTATTTTGCAATGTTTCTTGTTTCTTTTTACAAGCTGCTTCTTATGCGTTGTGAGACTACACCATCATATAACTTAGGGCTGGGCGATAAAACGATAACGATGTATATCGCAGTGTTTCCCACACATAGACTAATCTGTGGCGCACCGCCACAGATTAGAGACCGCCCGCCACAAATTGCGTTTCGTATTATTATATATATATTTTTTTTGTTACGCTATTTAAAACATGCATCGTCTAGTGCCGCCGCAGCGGTCAATTTGACAGCGGGGAGGGGGGTTTAAAATGTGGCGGCCCTTCGTAACTCTCACTCAAGCTACGCGTCTCTCCCACATACAGAGACCTACACACACACAGCCCCTCCCCTTCGTGCACACCGCGTGTCTCCGTCTCCATCAGCGATCATCGCTGTAAGCAGCTGTGTCTATTAATTTACCGCGGTAAAGTGGCCCGCATCTTTCAGCTCTATGAACATGCGGCCAGCATCGGGGAAAAGACGGTGCGCGTTTTGTTGAGAACTTACGGTAACAGCGGAACGTCCTTTCGGAGTCACCCATTTTTATCGAACAGAAAGCGCGCTGGGGTCAGGGAGACACGTTTTTGTGATTAAAACCTTATAGAGATGCCACCCGGCACACATAGCACCAGCCCCCTACGATTCCTCCTGCAGATTGTGAGTCCTCAGGAGGATAGCCACTCTATTGTTTACATGTATAAAGTACATGTAACCATTTTGGTCCAAAATACCTCCAAAATAGTCAAAACATGTCACTTTTGATCTACTGTAACTTTTTACTGTAAAAAGGTGTGCGACTAATTTCACTGGATTCATGACCTCAAGATTGTCCTCTACCACTGTACCCCACCCCCCCCCCCCCCCCCCCCCCCCCCCCCCGCCGACGACCACCACACATTGCCTTCAAACCTGTGGGAAACACTGTATCGCGATAGACATGTGTTCGATATCAATAGAGAATGGGATCGATAGAATGTTCGATAGTTTAACTTAACTCCGTCAGGAAAAACAGGAAGAAAACACTGGAAGTAAAGCCGACTCATAAGCGCATGGCATTGTGGGAGATGTAGGCGGAGGCTTCTCGACCAATAACAGCCGAGCAGGAACCGCAAAACTTTCTGGGAAATGCAAAAACACCAACAACCGCACCATGCGTGGCGTCCATGGATCTATAGCTCGTGTTTCAATGCCGTGTCAATGGTTATGCACGTACGTGCGCGGAATAACATGTGCGGCGGCAGAGGCAGTGGACAGACACGATGTATTCGGCGAAAGCAAGAGATTAACTTTTTCCTCGGGAAGCATGTGCGGCACAGAGAGCCGCACGGAGCGGTCACGGGGACACAAGATCCTCGAAAACAGCTAAACCAGGAGCTAAACCAGGAATAAAATACCAGGATTAAACCAGGATTAAACCAGGACTAACAACGAGGGACACAGTGTGAACATATTCCTCCAGCCTCATCGCCCCGTGACTGTAAACAAGGCTGCTAAGGTTGGTTAGCCCACACCACAAATTTATTTAGGTAAAAAAAAAAAAAAAACTCAATATATATCGTTATTGACCGATATGAATGACTTATATCGTGATATAGTTTTCAGCCATATCGCCCAGCCCTAATATAACTGCTAGTATGAGATGACAATACCTTTTATTTAAAGTCAGATAAAAACCTTTTGTTGGTTGAGAGACCAGAGTTGGAGCACTTCTGTGGCTTGTATGCTCAGTGGTGATTAGTTCAGAGGACTTCCCGTAGCCTTCAGTCCTGCTCCTGTTCCTCAGGTCAGGGTCCTCTGCAGCTTGACAGCTGCAGCAGCAGCGCTCAGACCTACAACCAACAGGTTTTTATATATTTGCCATCACACTTCATCAGTTGTGAGTTCAGGTGGTTAGTTTATCACATTACTGTCATATTGATGTTTGATATGTTTTTAACTAATTTAGGTAAAACATTTTTGTAGAACGGTCCAAGTTCCAGCTCCGGAGTTGCAGTGCAATTCGGCGGACTTCTTCTCTGGACGCCGTCACCGGGCCGTACCTCACCGGACAATGGCCCCGGGATTCACACGGACCTTACCCCTCCTGTATGAAAGACAAGGCCACTCAGGTAACTAAAGCCTTCTTCCACCAGCCCTTCTCGGCCCTACTCTGCTCTGCTCTGCTCTGCTCTAATCTCCCCTCATTAGGAGTATTTCCACTGGCCCTGTTTAACCAGTACAAGCATGGTTCTATAATATCTCAATAGGTACTAGTACCTAATAGGTAATAGTACTAGCTTAAAGCTGTCCCACAAATGGGTGTAGAGGGGCTCCCGCGGTACTACAGACTAAATTCACGTATGCTACCCATCAGCAACCCCTGTGTGGGGGAGTCCTGTAACACTATGTGGAGGTGAAGCCGCCTGCACCTGTCCACCCCCACCCCCGGGTCGAGTCTCTCCCTGAGCCCCCCAACCCCCTCCAAATCTTTCCCACTGACCACCGCTCCTCACTCGTGCATGGAAGGAAATGTGGAATTTTGGAAATTGGCAGAAATGTTTGTTTGCAGACACTACCCATTGTCAAATGCAGAGGAATAATTCCCCTATGGGGAAAATAAAGTGTACCTTAACCTTACTTGGGACTTTGCCATCAGTCGCCATGGACATATAATCTCCATGGCGACTGATCAGCCCCAGACTATAGGGCATTTCTTGATAATAAAAAATCATGCAGAGAAAAATAAATTAGAACTTATTCAAATAAAAGCCAATTGTTGAATTCTAGAGTGGCTGAGCTTTACGAGATACAACATGCCTTATATAGGCAGGAGTTGGCTGAATGACACTGTGTTCAACATCTCAAAGACTACTTTGTGTCAGCGGCAGAGGGACACAACATCACACAGAGGGTGTTAGTTTGAACATGCCTTAAGATCCAACTGCAAGACCCCACGTCCACCGTTGTCCTTTGTCTGACTGGAACAAGGCCTGCGTGACGTCACAGAGCGTGTGCGAGACGTGTCCCCTCCACTCCCTCCTCTCTGGCTCCATCTTCAAACGCCGCTCATTCCACGGGCCGCAAGCGAAATGCTAATGCTCGCTAAGCTCCACATCTGCCATCCTCTGCCCACCGCACACTGGGGCCTTTATGAGGACATAAGCTCCCGTCTCATCCCCAGCCCGCCACGGGAAGCAGAGCAGGACTGAGGCACAGTCCCACTTTATGTTACAGGCGTGGGAAGAGTGCTCCGGTTGTGGCTTTAATACAATGCAGATGACATAGCATTCTGAATTTTAACAAAGTGGAAAATGTTGTGTGTGTGTGAGTGTGCCAATTCAGTTCAATTTGATGTATTTATGTTTTGCCCTTTTTCACCACAGCTGCAGCAAACGGTGAAAACACAGGGAATGTAATAATAACGAACACGTAGGAGCCATTGGTCTATAGGGAACGGGATGACCCCTGTCCAGAAATGTTAATACATTTTCAGAAATGTCCTGGAATATCACTGTCCTTAGACCGTCCTGCATCAACAAACAACTTGAGAACAACTCAGGAACCTAGTAAGAAAAAAGTGAGACATTTCTGGGAGGCCCATTTTGAGGGAAGAGTGTCCTCTCCCACGGATGGACAGGCTGTATACCCAGGACTGAGGCTGTAGATCCAGGACTGAAGAGGCTCCCAGGTGGGGAGGCGCAGCCATGGATGTATTATATTACTTTGTTGTGATTTCAATACATTGAATGTGGTCTGTCTCTGGTTTCTTTCTGGTCTCTCTCACAAATGCAGAACAGGAGGGGAGGGGGAGTACACACTACATCCTAACAGCTTCGGACATTTGAGTTGTTTGTTGTCTCCAGACACCAGTTCTGTGGGAGGAGACCACTGCAGAGCATGGGCCTCAGCAGCGCTCGGCATCATGGGGCAGCGCAGACCATCTCAAAGAGGTACAATACCCTGTCACAGTATCACACTGTCACTGTCTCTCTCATATTTTATAGATTACAACGGGAGACATTTGAAAAGTATTCCATGATCATACCATCTTGCATGCATCTATAAGAAGAACTGAATAAAAATGGGTTCGAAAAATAAATAAAAATTATTTAATAAAAAAAAAAAATCGCTGTGGACCATAGTTTGTATGAGGAGTGGACTGACCGAGTGGGACATTTATTTAGCTGATTTAAACATATTGTAGCTGGAGCCAATTTCCTTTTTTAAAGAAATTGTTCTGACAGCGTTAGCTTGGTGTTGTAACAGGGGCAGACTTGTTGCTAAGACAAGCTGTAATTTCCCCTGTGAATGAAAGCATCTGATTCTGAATCCTTATATGGCTCATATCTGGATTTATAAAGACAATATCACAATATAAACACCAGGATCACAGAGCACTAAACCATTTTTAAGTTCAAAATGGTACGTGTGACACAAATGGTTACTTAGCTAGAGGAGTTTACTTTTACATGTAAGTCAAAAGGAGCCAGAGCAAGTTGGAGCCAAACTTCACCATGAGCACTTCCCTACTGGACTTCATTCAGCTTGCGGGTTACCATCAAGCCCCGGTGATACAAGATGGCAGCCTATTCAAATCAGTGGCTTTTGCCCAGCGGCACATGGGACCACCATGGGCACCGAAAGATTAGCGCAACTCACCCATATTTGGGCATGCGTCCTCCTGGTTCTGCGCAGTGAACGAGATCCCATGATTTGCAGTTTTCTTTTGTATAAAAGTAGCTCTCCGAAAGACCAGGGGTCTCCAACCTTTTTCAATCGGAACCCCTGATTCAAAATGTATGTGTACATTTTCAACCAAGCTTTCAGACAGCGACCCGTCTGAAACCCGAACGTCTGTATCATCATGAGCACAGGTACCAACAACTCACAACACCGGCCATACAACGGTCCATCACCCTGCCTAATCTTGCCAAACTCCAACATGACTCATGTTTCCACTTCCACATTACTGCGGTGCCAAAGTCATCACCGCACTGACCAAAAGGAAGAAGACTCACATTCTTTTGACTAAATGAAATGTGTTAATGCAATACTTGTAAAAGTAAACTCCTCTAGTACAGTAACCGTTTGTGTCACACTCACCATATTGAACCTTACAATCCGTGGTTTAGCCCTCCCTGCATCCCCCTGGTGTTTTTATGTTGTGATATTGTCTTGTTGCCTTCATTCATGGGTAAACTCCAGCTGGCCTTAGCAAGCTAGCTAGCTGGAGCCAATTCCCATAGAAGGAAATTTGCTCCAGCCAGCGTATGATTCAAATCGGCCTCTTCCGCATTAAGGCTAACTCTATAGTGATGTCACACTCGGTCAGTCCACTCCTGATATACAGTCTGTGATTTGAGCTAAAATTTTAAAATAATTTATTTATTTATTAATTTATTTCTCATTTAGATTGAAAAGGCCACAATAACACACAATAAGGCTTTAAATGCTTGCAACCATTGCCATATCTGCCCACTGTCCAAGTCAAAATACATTATAATCCAGTTAAGTTTGTAAAGAATAACCTCAACGTTTGCTTGATGGAAGACTGAGGGTGTAATAGATGGCATATGACACAGTGGAACCAAGCCATTGTGTTCATTAGGCCATTCTCTCTCCATGTGCATCGACTAGAGAGGCGGAGGTAGAGGCCAACCAGAGAGGATTAGGATTTAGGCTGTAGTACTGCAGGTGGCCTCTGATCCATGTGGATACGGGTTTAAGCAGCAACACCCTCCACATAATATCACACATCCATGAGTGGAACATGCTTAAGTGAAATGTTTCATCTTGGGGAAGGTCTTGTCCAAACAGCATAATGGGGTTTACTCAACCTCAGTCAGGTTAAACTGGGCTGTGTGTTTCGCTTTTTGTGCCCGGACTTGTAAATATTGACACTGTCCACTCTAGTGATGAGTGAAATGAAATAAGAAATGCATTCTTCTTATGTGAGGAGTTGGTGTGGGTGAGGACATCCTTGCACACAGAGGCTTTTGTGTGTCAGGGATTAACCAGATCCCACCCAAGACCACACCTATGACCCGGGCTACATAATAGGACTAGGCTCTAACTTCACTTTTAATTTTCAGACCATGTGACTATAAGAGCTGTAGTGGGTAATAAGTAGTAGGGCTGCAGTTATAATATAGTACAGACCAAAAGTTTGGACACACTTTCTCATTTCTCTATATATATATATATATATATACATTATATAAAAAAAAAAATTGTCCACTCACCTTTGGCCCTCCGCGGGCGGTTATCCCTCTCTAAGCTCGGGTCCTCTACCAGAGGCCTGGGAGCCTGAGGGTTCTGCGCAGTATCTTTCTGTTCCTAGCACTGCACATTTCTGGACCGAGATGTCCGAGGTTGTTCCAGGGATCCGCTGTAACCTCTTCTAGCTTCAGCGTCACTGCCCCGAGTGCACCGATCACCACGGGCACTACTGTGACCTTTACCCTCCAGGCCCTCTCCAGCTCCTCTCTGAGACCTTGGTATTTCTCAAGCTTTTCATGTTCTTTTTTCCGGATGTTACCATCGCTTGGAATTGCCACGTCCACCACCACGGCTGTCCTCTGCCCTTTGTCCACCACCACGGCTGTCCTCTGCCCTTTGTCTACCACCACGATGTCAGGTTGGTTCATTACCATTCGGTCGGTCTGTATCTGGAAGTCCCACAGGATCTTTGCACGCTCATTCTCCACCACCTTTGGAGGAGTTTCCCACTTAGACCTTGGGGTTTTCAGCCCATACTCTGCACAGATGTTTCTGTTCACTATGCCAGCCACTTGGTTATGGCGTTCCATGTAGGCCTTTCCTGCCAGCATCTTGCACCCTGCAGTTATGTGTTGGATCGTCTCAGGTGCCTCTTTGCACAACCGACACCTTGGGTCTTGTCTGGTGTGGTATATCTGGGTCTCTATCGCTCTGGTGCTCAGGGCCTGTTCCTGTGCAGCCATGATGAGTGCCTCTGTGCTGTCCTGTAGGCCAGCCCTTTCTAGCCATTGGTAGGACTTCTTGAGATCAGCCACTTCTTGTTATGCTCCGGTGGTACATGCCGTGTAGGGGATTGTTCTTCCATGATGGGCTCTCCTCCAGCACCGCCTCATCTCGCCACTGCCTGAGACATTCACTGAGTACGTCATCCGTTTTGGCCTTCTCCATGATGTAGTTATGGAGTTTGGATGTTTGGTCCTGGACAGTGGCTCTCACACTCACTAGTCCTCGGCCTCCTTCTTTACGGCTTACGTACAGTCTCAGGGTGCTGGATTTGGGATGGAACCCGCCATGCATGGTATGGAGCTTTCGAGTTTTAACATCCATGGTCTGAATCTCTTCCTTTGGCCCCTGATTATTCCTGCAGGGTATCTGATCACTGGCAGGGCGTAGCTGTTAATTGCCCGGGCCTTGTTCTTGCCATTGAGCCGGCTTCTTAGGACCTGCCTTACTCGCTGGAGGTATTTGGCAGTTGCCGCTTTCCTCGTCACCTGTTCGAGGTTGCCATTTGCCTGTGGTATACCGAGATACTTGTAACTGTCCTCAACGTCTGCTATTGTTCCCTCTGGGAGTGAGATCCCTTCTGTGTGGACTACCTTGCCTCTCCGAGTCACCATCCTGCTACATTTCTCGAGCCCGAATGACATCCCGATGTCATGGCTGTAGATCCTGGTTGTTTGGATCAGAGAGTCGATGTCTCTCTCGCTCTTGGCGTACAGCTTGATGTCATCCATGTAGAGGAGGTGACTGATCTTTGCTCCGTTCCTGAGGCGGTATCCATAGCCAGTCTGGTCAATTACTTGGCTTAGAGGGTTGAGGCCTATGCAGAACAGTAGTGGGGACAGAGCATCTCCTTGGTAGATACCACATTTGATGGTCACTTGTGCGAGTGGCTTGCCATTTGCCTCAAGGGTGGTCTTCCACATTCCCATCGAGTTTGCAACGAAGTCCCTTAGAGCCCTGTTGATATTGTACAACTTCAAGCATTCCATGATCCATGTGTGTGGCATTGAGTCGTAGGCTTTCTGGTAATCAATCCAGGCTGTGCACAGGTTGGTGTGTCGTGACCGGCAGTCTTGGGCGACTGTTCTGTCAACCAGGAGCTGGTGTTTGGCTCCTCTGGTGTCTCTACCAATGCCCTTCTGTGCTGTGCTCATGAATTGTTCCATATGCCCACTTATCTTAGTCGCAATGATGCCTGACATGAGCTTCCATGTTGTGGAGAGACAGGTTATTGGCCGGTAGTTGGAGGGGACTGCACCCTTGACAGGGTCCTTCATGATCAGGATATATATATATATATATTTAATTTATTTATTTATTTATTTACTTACCTACTTACCTACCTACCTACCTACTTACTTACCCACTTACTTACCTACCTACCTACTTACTTACCCACTTACTTACTTACTTACCCACTTACTTACTTACTTACCTACCCACTTACTTACTTACTTACTTACTTACCCACTTACTTACTTACTTACCTACCCACTTACTTACCTACCCACTTACTTACTTACTTACCTACCCACTTACTTACTTACTTACCCACTTACTTACTTACCTACCCACTTACTTACTTACTTACCTACCCACTTACTTACTTACCTACCCACTTAGTTACTTACCTACCCACTTACTTACGTACTTACTTACTTACCTACCCACTTACTTACGTACTTACTTACTTACCTACCCACTTACTTACCCACTTACTTACTTACTTACCTACCCACTTACTTACTTACTTACCTACCTACCCACTTACTTACTTACTTACTTACCTACCCACTTACCTACCCACTTACTTACCCACTTACTTACTTACTTACCTACCCACTTACTTACTTACCTACCCACTTACTTACTTACTTACCTACCCACTTACTTACCCACTTACTTACTTACTTACCTACCCACTTACCCACTTACTTACTTACTTACT